AGCCAAGCGGAACCATTTTGATCCCACTAGCAAGTTTACCGAAACGCGAAAGCTCGCGCTCGATATCAGCGTTGGGAATGTACGGTGGAACATTGGAAACGGTTACTTTACTTGTTGGTGTTGCTAACGGTTGAACGTGAATAAAAGCACCACTTACCGAGATCCCGCTTTCGATCAAACGATTCACGAGGTGTTCATCCTTGAGAAAAACCACCACGGCTTTGTTCATCCGGGATGCAGAAACAATGTTGTCGTGACCAACGCGTTCAGCTACATCCAACAACACGTCTTCCACAGACTCTCCAGCGTTCGTGACACACCTGATGCCGTGACGGAGCGACAGAGACGACGTCTGCACACTCCCGTGCGACGCCATCTCCGTCCCCGACACGCAATAGGCTACTAGACTATTACACGAACCAAAAAACTGAGAATATAACAGACTAAAACCAAACTAGTTTTGCGAAAGAAAATACATAGAAATGCTTCCAATAAGCTCCCAAAAGAATAGTTAAGAAAAAAGTTTCAAATTTCCCTCTCACCGTGATCACCCTCCCACACACTCCCACACTACCACTTCCCAGCATGCACTGAGAGAGAGAGAGAGAGAGAGAGAGAGAGAGAGAGAGAGAGAGAGAGAGAGAGAGAGAAATGCTCTGTGTTGGGTATGTAAGGGATGTATATTTTATATAAGGGTTGCAAATCAGACTGTTCAGCTATAATGACAGTCTCAATCACTGGCCTAATGCCGTATAAAAACTTTGGCATACTGTTTGCATATAAGGAATTGCACAGGGACATAATTATAAGGATTATATCCTTTGTGTTTTAGCATTGAGGTTTTCTTGACAGACTCACACTGTATGCCTGATATGCCAGTACGTTTTAAATTCATTATAAAATAGACTTTCAAATGGTTGAGGGAGAGGATAGTAAGAGCTTGGCTATCAAGCAGAGGCAGAAGGGCAGTTATCTGTGTATTACGGCTCTAGGACTCCTGAGAGTTTCTAATCAGACAGAAAAATAAATCTGTGCTAAGTCTGGAAGCGCCTACTCCTCACAAAAGAACTGGATTTAGGATGTTTGTAGGCCTGGAGCTGTATTGAGAATGGCAGTCTAAGCAATAGCAGAGCAGTGCTTTTATAAAACTCCCAGATGGGAATCCACAAATAAGGTGCAAATCAAAATGTGCTACACAGCACATTAGAAAACTAAATTAATTGCTCTTACAGCTCATTTGCATATTCAAAGAATAGCTTTAGACCACCATTACAATCACAAAACAGAATTGAACTGTTTGCATCATTGATCATTATTTTCCTGTTTATCACAGTAAAGCTGCTTTGAAGCATTTTGTATGGTATAAAGTGCTATATGAATAAAGGTAACTTGACTTGGCCATACTGTAGCATTACAATTCATGTAAGTTAGATAGTATTAGTTTGGCGTACAATACATCAAACAGACTGTTTTAATTTAAAGTAAATAGACTTATAAATGTTCAAACAGCCACACCCAAGCAAACACACAGTAGTTTGTGATTCAGAGCATGATGTGGATGCTTTTAATGTTAAAAGGAAGCTCAGACCACAGCATCAGTTTTGTCTTGAAAATGCAGCACATCTAACTTAATACAGTAGTAGGTCTTACAAAAAAATCATTAAAAAAACTGTATTGTAACTTAGGGATAGTAACACAGTTGAAGACTTTAAGGTCTGTGTAAATTTGTTTGAGCTCATGTTACTTCAAACCCGTTCATGAAACTGCCGAGCAAGGACATGCAGCGCAGAAAAACAGCCATCATACAAGCCTGTGTGTGTCCTGCAGTCCTGGGGATTTACGAAATGACTTTCACTGTCCTTGTCTGAAATGTGTTTTAATAAGCCACACGCTGCTCACACGTAGAGCACAATATGACATGCAATATGAGCGCTCCAGTATAACTCTGAATCACAGGTACAGTGGTGCGAAAACAGAGTGCATTGCCCTTAAACAAATGTTCTGTTGGAATTATAAAAAATAAAAAAAGGCATTAAGCTCACCACAATGCCAGTTCAGCAATAAACTAACCTCATCTCCTCAAGGTATTTCAGTGTACTGTTTGTTTGAATTCCTTTTAATGTTTATGATATGTACTCTTGATGAAATAAAGTGTGATGTTGCCACCACCACATCATAAACAAGTATCACTGTTTATGTATCACTGGAAATTATTTTTCCTGATTGCATTCCAATAAAAACAACACATTACATGAGTCACTGAAGGGAAAGGGCAAATTAAAGATGGTGTCTGGAGAAATACTGGCTCATATTCTTGTTTTGTTTACAGGCTAATCCTGCACTTGTTAAATAGACCTTAATAGAACACAAGTGTCAATTTTATAAGCATTATTTAATCCTGATATCTGCTAGTGAAGTGCATTCTCGTAAATCTTGAATTATCTTTAATAAGGGGTTGACATTTAAACATGAAAATGTCTGAAATGAAGGAAAAATCGTTCAGAACAAAACATCACATACTGTAGCTGTACTGTGCACACACTTGGCTACTAAGAAAAGCACAGGCTATATGATAAGAGTTTTTAATATTTTTAACCCTGTTTTTGTCATGTCTTTCTAGGTTAAACTTGTTGGACAAGTGCAAGCCAAATGTTTGTATTCTAGTGATGTTCCTGCATTGCATGCTGTGTTAAGGAATTATTTCATGTGTCGATTGGGTGACTCGAGAAATACAATCATAATGGTCTTAAATGATCCTATATTAAGTGATACGAGGTATTCTTCCTGGTTCTGGAAGCACTGGAACTCAAGTCTGTATGTTCTTAAATAATGTTGGTGTGTACAGTATGTAAATCTATGTTTGTATTCTTTTCTTTCTGTTTCTTTGACTTTGTGATATGGACCTAAGGGTCTGGATGGAATAAAGAATTAATAATAATAATTATGCAATTTTATGTAAACTATTCTTAATTTTGGTGAGCTTAATTTCTGTACAACATACATGTAATGTGTCCATCCACATGCATAAAGATGAAACGCATGATTTCACCCCAATCATATTTCTTTTTTCATTGCTTGTCTATTACACACCACTGCGGAAGACTGCACAGAGCAAAGAAGAGAATATAATGGAAGGAACAATTACCAGTGTGTCCAAGAGCTATAATGCTGCATTAGTGCGTCTACAAGACTGATTAATGATCACTATGCTTTGTACTAACACAATAAAGAAGACAATATAACATTTGTAATAAAGTCAAATTGCATTTCGGGTGGTCTGTAGTGTGGGGTGAATTACGTTAAAGGAAATGTAGCTTAAGTCAAGGTGTCTCGCTCTGATTCTTGGTTTTACTATAACTTGTGTAGGTTTTATTTGAGTCTGAGACTGAAATCATTTTGTGACAGAATGAGGTGAAAGTTTTAAGGTTCCCCATACCACTGCTAATATTAAACATGCACAAACTTCAGATCAAAAAGAACAGTTGCCAGAACAAAATCCCATGGATGTTCTTATGCAATCATCAACAAAACATATACTTAACATCATCACAATGTCTTGATCAGATCCTGAATATTAAGTCCATGATTTTAGGTTGAGCTTTCTAATAAGATGCTATCCGGGTCACCTCTTACCCTAAAATGATGTAATGTCTGGGGAAACAAGGGCACTAAATTTACCACACTAGGAACAAAAGTCAAACACCAGCTATTTTAGCCTTTCAAACCTTCACCCCATAAATCCGATAATCACGACAAATGTTTCAAGGCAAAAAATAAATATAAAAATGCACAACAAATGCACAAAAATCCTTGAAATATGATAACTCTCATTTTCTCTTCATATTAAGCTGTTGAATCAGTGGGTTTAATGTGACATATCTGCTTTTCTGTGAAAGCTGAAGACATACAGTAAACAGCAAAGGGCTAAAATCCAGAAAAAAATCCCAAACAGACACAGGACCGGTCGCCTTTGGGCTGCTACATAGAATGAGATGGTTCTTATTAACTGTAATCTCAAACACCTGTCTCCCTGCAGTACAGTCACTTCCAATGAAGTCCAGAGGGGCTGCAGATCACATAAAGTCTTAACTGAAGCTTTGATTATACCTCATATGGCTGGTTCACATTTCTTTTAACTGCATTTCATCCCACTGTTGTCAATGAATATATCCAAGTTCAGACTGAGAGAATTTAATGATACCAAAAAGAGGATTTTCTCACCCTTTTTCCAAGTAAGAAACTGACAAGATGAAAGATTATGAATTAGACAAAAACATGTGCCATTCAACTAAACAGATAAAGCAGGCATAAAGGTGCTGATACTACACTGGATGACCTTAATGAAAATTAATCATCCTTATTCTCAAAGCTAGCTTGACATCATGTAACTCAAGATAAACGAGTGGAAGGTTTAAGATTCATGACTGTTTTTCCCTTTTGGCAGTCAGGTGGCAATTAATCACATTAAAGCAATTAAGAAGGTTGTCTCTGCACAACTGGCCTTATCTCGAATGTCCTTCAGATTCACAGCTGCCTGTAAAGTACTAAAGGTTTGTGGAAAGTATTTATCTGTCAATTCATTTTTGTAACAGCTGATTATCAGCATTACCACAAAACCAACAGAGAGAATTGAGACAAAGGAGTGTCTCTGAACAAAGATGGTACTGGTTTGTTGTAACTGATCCTCTGGAAGCAGTAAACAACTCTGTGAACCTGTGACTATAAAGAAGAAACAGTGTGAAATTCTGTAAGAATGCTGTAACGAAGATAAAATAATAAATGTAGCACTAGAACAGCTTGTCCAGGTGTAAACCTCTTGCAAATCCCTCAAAATCCGTTTGCAGAGGCTGGGAAAGAAATTCAAGGACACACCAGGGCCTGCTTTTTATGGTATAACAAGCTCCAAATGGACTCCATTTGGAAAACTTACATTTTACAAACTTGCATACTCGTCATCCTCATGTCACTGAAAAGGGAGAACTAGTGAGAACAGAACCTACCTTTCTCAGTGGTCACGACAAGAGGCTTTGAGGTGCTTTTCACTGTCCATGAACTCTTTGCAGTATCCAGTTCAGGTGGGGTTGTGTTTTCTGTGCCAGTAATTGGAGAGGAAGAAGAGGGTTTTACTGTAATGTTTAGTGTTGTGGAGTTTTCTTTGACTTGACTGCCTTTGGGGGTTGGGTTCATTGTTTTGGTAAGAAACGATGCCGTGGTGGTCAGCCAGAAGGGCTGTAGTTGGTTAGTTTTGCCAGTGGTTTTGAAATCCCTGGTTGTGATGGTCATTGTGGAGGTGAAAGGTGAAAACCTGGAGTCCCTGTCGTCCTCTTGTAAGTGGTTTGGGATGGTGGTCGCCTCCAACGTCTCATCCAACACAGCACGCGGTAGTCTCGCGCCTGGAGACGCGTTCTCATCGCTCAGGCGACCTACAGTACGCGACAAACCAGCGGTGTATCCAAACAACAATAACTCCAAAACTGAGAACAGTAACATAGTGTAACGCATACACGTCATTTTGTTCTATAACTCCCCATGTGAAACGTTTCAATTGTATCCTTTAGTTCTATAGACAGTTATTTCCTACTATCGAATCCGTGTTTCATCCGATTGTCTCCACTTGTCCACTCGCGCTGTGAACTGCACGGCTTCACTCCAGCGGGACTGACAGTTGTAAACCCCGCCTACTACGGCAACGGCCACGCATCCACCCAATCAGAGCGCAGGCTTCATGAAGATTGACGTAACACTGCACCGATCATACGACTGTGAGGAGGAGCCTCAAAACTGACAACTCAATGAGCTGTTTTGAAAAGTGACAAAAGAAAGAAAACAGCTCAAATATTGCGAGATACTACCGAGAGCCTGCAGTGAGAATGAAACCTTCTCAAAGAAAACTACGGGAAGTTGCTGCAATGCAAAATATGTAGGCTATATTAGATAATATTTATAAAATGTATTTCTATATATTATATTTGTAATGTACGCTATTAACAAAATGTATGATATTTGTGTACTGACGCATTATTGTTTAGACAGAATATCATCTGTACAATTTAACACAAAAAACATCAAGAAACAAGAAAACATAGGCTAACCCCTAATAACTGTGCTTAAAACCACATTATGGAAAAAGGACAATTTAACGGCGTTTAATTGAGTCTATCTTAATGGCTTGATTATTAATGGATAATTATAAACGCAGAATAGAAGTCGCCTACACTAACAGAGTAATTGCGTCCTCTAGTGGTGACGCACCAGTAAAGACAATATAAATTGGTAAATAACACGCTCAGTTGTCACAGCATGAAAAAAGAGAAAATGGGAATGATAAAAAATTCCTGCAGTAGCCTATTTGATACTCCAATATGTAAATATGTTCTGTATAAAGCCACTGTCTGTATGCACACCACATTGTTAAGCAATTTACATAAGGACATATGTCAGAGTGTGCACTGGAGAAGCCTGTGTGCACTTGATGATATTCATTCCTTGAATCAAGGAATTTGGATAGTTCAAAGGCTGGTTTAATGTCTGATGGTGGTGAACCATAACTATAGAGCAATATGAACCCAGATGCTTCATTATGCTTAAAATTAATCTGTGTGTACTGTGTACACATATATAAAATGTTTTTTTTTTGTCTGGGTTTTATCTTTAGCAGTCATTCAGAAAAGGAAGTGACTGAAGGTAAGAGTGCTGATAGAGAGAGAGAGAGAGAGAGAGAGAGAGAGAGAGAGAGAGAGAGAGAGAGAGAGAGAGAGAGAGAGAGAGAGAGAGAGAGAGAGAGAGAGAGAGAGAGAGAGAGAGAGAGAGAGAGAGTAGGATGTTTCAGGGACGTCACAGATGTGTGGTGGACATTAAGCCTTTATTTGCAATTGGACTCTGAGTTCTTACTCCACCCTTAAGAAGTTTATCCACATGTACATGAATTTGTATTGCAGTCACACGAGGAGGGGGATGAAGACAACGCAAAGTGGGTGGTTTACTTTAAGAAGTGTTTAGTTTAGAAGAGTAAGAGAGAGAGAGAGAGAGAGAGAGAGAGAGAGAGAGAGAGAGAGAGAGAGAGAGAGAGAGAGAGAGAGAGAGAGAGCTGAGGGGAAGGAAGTCAGAGATCAGCACTCTACACACATCTTACATTGTTTTCTAGGACATCTCAAGAACACAGAGAGGAGGATTTATCACATTTTTCTACCCTTTCCTTTTAATGAGAAAAATGAAATCCATAATACAGAGATCGTTTTCAAACTTCTTCTTTGAATACGAAACTCCTCGGCAGGTTCTGGTCAGGAACAGAAGAGTTGCACTTGTGTGCCGAATCATCCAGCTGGGCGTTCTATCCTACATCATTGGGTAAGAGATTTCTTTTATTCTTAAAAAATGAAAAAGAAAAGCAGAGGCAACCCGAGCATGATTGTCGAAACAGAACATGCTTCAACAACAGCAAAAAAAATGTACAGAATGCAAACAAACTAACGGCTCAAGCCTTGTATTGACCTGAACAGTTAAGCGCTGTCATGATGTATCATTTAGGATAATGCATTGCTTGGTCTGACTAGCAGTACACCATCAAACTGTTATTGTTTCAAAACAGACAGACATGTTTCTGAAGAAAAGAATAAGATGAGATTTATTTTGTGAGCTTGATTTGCTTAAAAGTATGTCCACATGCTTTTCATTGTGTCTGATTTAGTTTTAATGGCTTATAACATTGCAACAGCTCAATTCCAGTCTTAGAGCTAACAGCTGGCCCTCAGTATGTATTAGATAACTATTAGGCGTCTGTGTAAAAGATAGGCTATACTTATGTGATGCTGATTATATGAATGTCGCATAAAGACTTGTTTATAAAAGCAAACATTTATTTGAGCGGTAAAATATCATGCTATAGTCATTCATGGGGAAAAAACAGACTTTGACAGATGTTTACAAACTGAGTATTTCCTCTGATGTAATTCAAACCGGTTGGGTCGGTTGTCCAACCGACCCAATCATTGGTTGCTTTCCCGTAATGGGTAATTTTGATCCTCCGACATCCAGAGAAGTGCTTGGCATTATAAATAACCTGAATGACACCGCAGCATCTCATGATGAAATTAAAGCAAAGCTTTTAAAAAAAAGTGGCATTAACAATTAGTGAGCCATTAACTCATGTCGTTATGCTTTCTTTAAAAAGTGGGGTAGTCCCAAAAGATCTGAAGATTGGAAAGGTTATACCTTTATTCAAGGCAGGGGATCCTAGCAAATAATTATAGACCGATCTCTATTTTACCTTGTTTCTCTAAAGTTTTGGAAAAGCTGGTATATGTAAGAATGTTAAAACATCTTAATGACAACAAGATCCTATATAAACATCAATATGGATTTCGACAACAACACTCAACATATATGGCTTTGTTACAACTCATGGACAAGATTTCTACAGCACTGGATAACAACATGTTTGCAGTTGGTATATTTTTAGATTTATCAAAGGCTTTCGATACAGTCGATTATGAAATTCTGATTTCCAAACTTTACCGTTATGGGTTTCAGGATGTTGTAATCAATTGGCTTATGGATTACTTGATTAATAGAGAGCAATATCATGTATTTATAAATGGCAGTACTTCCAAGAGAATTAAGTTATGTTGTGGACGGTGTACCTCAGGGATCTATTCTTGGGCCACTCCTGTTTCTCATGTATATAAATGACCTAGCTTGGATGTTTGAATCTGCATTGCCCATTCTATTCGCAGATGATACTACTGTTGTCATATCACATGCAAACTTTGATTCTTTGATGAATGAAGCTAATGATGTTCTATATCGCAAAGTGGTTTCAGTTGAACGAACTTTCATTAAATATAGAAAAATCTAATTATATAGTTTTCAGGAATAAAAATAAAAGGTATTTAAAAGAAGATGCTAAATTATTTATTAACAACATTGAAATCAATCAAGTTACAGTAATAACATTTTTAGGGGTATTAGTAGATGAAAAACTCTCATGGAAAAACCATATTGATTATGTGTGTGTAAAAATCATGAAGTCACTTGGCATCATTAGAAAAGTTTGTTCATTGGTAAATCAATCCTGTCTTTTAACTCTTTATTATAGTCTATTATATCCTTACATCTCTTACTGTAACATTGTTTGGGCCAGTTATTATCCTTCTTCTCTTCAAAAAATCGTTTTGATCCAAAAAAAGTTTGTTAGATTGGCAACAGCATCTAGTCGGTGTGAACCATCGGCTCCTCTGTTTAAGCAATTAAATATTGTATCTATTTTCAGCATAAATATCTATCAAACATGTATCTTTATGTACAATTATATGGTTCAAAATCATAGCCTCCCAAAAGTGTTTAATAACTATTTTTTAATTAACTCGGATGTCCATTCATATCCAACCCGACAAGCAATGAATGTTCATCTTCCCTATTATCATCCAACTCTTGGTCAATTTTCCTTAAAATATAGAGGACCGTCACTTTGGAATACTATTCCTCGTTTTATTAAAACTAGCTCATCATTGTCAGTATTTAAGTCAAGCATGAAAAAACACTTGTGTGATTGTTAAAATTTCTGTATATGTGTTGTCTTTAATTGTCTCTCATTATTGTGATGATTGTTGTTATTTATTATAATAATTTGGTGTAGTATTAATTGACAATCCAGAGGGGAGGTTTTACTATAAGCCCTTGGGGGTTTCTTACCTCTCCTGTATAATCCATATGTATTATTTTAATATCTTCTTTTTTTTTTGTGGTTGTGCGAAATAAAAAATAAAAAAATAAAAATAAAACCTGTATTGTGCAGTCCACTGAGCAACACTAAAGACATTATGTGGGTTTTTTCAATCTTTTAGATGCCACGGACCCCCAAATATAATCCTCATGTGAGGGACCCCCATCCTAAAAAAATTAACTGTCTTTTATAAACACCATTTACATACTAAAAAAATATTATATTAAATCTAAAATGTTCCATTATTATATTTTTTTCTACTCACTATATACTGTTAAATGAATTGTGCATTTATTTGTTTATTTATGCAATTTTAATCTAATTTTATTTATATGAATCAAAATTGTTATTCATTTATTTATTATTCATTTAATCTATTTAAAAGATTAACAACTAATATTATTTAAATCACACACTTTAATTCATTTATTACTATTATTATATACATTTTTACTCTAGATTTGTCCCGGAACAATTTGAAAACCCCTGCTCTAAGCAATACAATTTGCATTTACAGTAACCAAATAAATGTTGAATAAGTGTGTTCAAATAAATGACTACTGTATTTTGGAGCAATAACTCATTTGGAAAAGTGCCTGATATATAGCAATACTTCACTGTTTCCACTTTAGGTGGTACATCTCACTTAAAAAGTGGCAATTTGCAATTATTAGGCTACTTTAAAGAGCCATTTCTAGCTTATTTTACTGTAACAAAGTGACTATACGTTTATAAAGTTTTTAAATATGGATATTATTCTTACACAAACTCATCGCTTCGCTTCAGAAGGCCTTTATTAACCCCCGCAGAGCCATGTTAGAGCACTTTTATGATGGGCAGATACACTTTTATGGACTTCAAAACAGAAACAGCAATTCACTGCCATTATAAAGCTTGAAAGAGTCAGGACATTTTTTTTTTAATATACCTCCGATTGTATTATTCTGAAAGAAGAATGTCATATACAGTACACCTACGTAGTATGACTTGAGGGTGAGTAAATCCTGGGCTAATTTTAATTTTTGGGTTAACTATCCCTTTAAAGGGAAAGTCCAGCCAAAAATGAAAATTCTGTCATCATTTACTCACCCTCAAGTTGTTCCAAACCTGTATGATTTGAGGGTGAGTAAATGATGACAGAATTGTCCTTTTTTGGGGTGAATTATCCCTTTAATGTCAGTGATCATAGAACAAATGAAAAGTTGTTACTCCCTTTAGTTTATCAGTGAACATCTGCAGACCACTCTAAATGAATCAAATGCAGTTCTAGTCCAAAACACAGCAGGCTGAAGTATTTGTTGGGAGCTAAAAAGCATTAAACACAATGGCTGGATTTCATGCATGAAGTGAAGGGTGCTTCTGTTATCTGTCATGTAGAAGTTGTTTGTCTTTGTAGTCAGGTAATCTGAATGAAACAAACTGATAAAGTCGATAATCACTGCGCAGTAGCATTTGTTTGGCAAGTTTGGTCTGTCTGGAGCAGTATGCCATTGCCATTGCCATCTTTAGGTGTGTCAGACGATAAGGCAGCGTCATGCTTCAAACGGAAGATTAACGTTTTCTGTGTCATGTTAGGGCATGAGGCCAACATCTTATTGCTTCATCCTACTTTTATGTCACAAGATGGCTGAACTATGTGTGAACACACGCACACATTCTTAAACGCAAACTATAGAACAGCAACAGCCTCATGTCATTTAAAAGTTTTCCTACAACTACTGGGCAAGTTTAATAGTGCATAAGGATACACTATGCTTTTTACCCAAATCAAATAGTGCAATTATAAATATATTTTGTACTGTAATTATCAATCAGTAACCAATAAAAAATACTACTAGTTCTGAGTGAAAGTTATTAGGATCAAATTAAATTAAATTAAAGTTCAATATTGACAAAATGTGTGTTGTGAGAATTCATGAAAAGAAAGAAAGAATGCCTTTTCAGAATCAGAATCAAATAAAACGTTTCATCAAATTAATTAAGATAAAAAATAAATGTAAAATATTTTCTATAGTCAACAACAAGAATATATTAGTCCACAATCAACAAAATATATCAAATATACTCTCCTTTGTGTAACCCTCTATCAAAGAATAGGATCTTTTGGTCATATGTATTCTGTAACAAGTATATTATTTTATGGCTTCATGAAATCTCATGTTTTTGGACAAATGGTAAAAATCTTTTGTAAAAGACTGATTTTAATGCAATTTGCCATTCAGAGTACATGAACTATAATAAATCATTTTGAAATACAATATCTCTAATGTATGGTTTATAGAATAATTGTGAATTATTGTGATTGTGAATAAAATCTGTAGTCTTCAGAATGCAGGTTGATTATGGCAGATCAGTAATGTTCATGATTTTTTGTTTGTTTTTTTGTTGCTTTTATTAGGTGGGTGTTTATGTATGAGAAAGGCTACCAGACAGTGGACACTGCTATAAGCTCCGTCTTCACCAAGATGAAGGGTGTGTCCTACACAAATATCAGTAAAGTGGAGAGGATATGGGATGCAGCCGATTATGTGTTTCCTGAACAGGTGGGTTGTGCCTCTTAATTTTTGACCTCAAACCTCATTGTTTGAAAAGTTCAGAGGGCCTTGATTTATATACTTAGGTATATATATTTTTAGTTTTTATCAATACATGCATTTGAATGCAGATAGGTAACTCACTGGGTAATTGCCCGTCCAGCAAAGTGTCATTATTGGTGTGGATTGGGCCAAATCATAGATAAAAGTACTCTTATTGACATTTGCAGTCACACTGCTTCAGGTTCTTCTCACTCAAAGTGCTAACATTGTCAAGGCAAGTAAACATCTCATTTGTGACTCAATATGCTTAGAAGGGAAACACAGAGAAACACATTGAAGAATATGACACCGTAGTTGATCATAAAGAGATTTTAGTTTAACAAATAACTGTAAATGCCTGTAATTATTTACTTTATGCCAACAGCCTGCAGCGTTTTCAGAATGTTTCGTTATTTCGCAGAAATCACCCAGGGCAATAAGAAACAGACCAACTGTTGACATAAAAGTAAACACGTCATCACTTAGCAATTAAAGGAGTGGCTCCAGGAGCTTCTTGATAGTCAGATAATATCATGTCCAAAAAAAGTAAACATCAAATTGTCCATTGCGATAACAAATATCATCCTTTATGTGTACATTAAAATTCTGCCATCATTTACTCGCCTCCAAGTTGTTCCAAATGTGTATGAGATTCTTTCTTCTGCTGAACACAAAAGGAAATATTTTGAAGAATATGAGTAACTAAACAGTTGATGGTCCCCATTGAAAAATACTATGGAAGTCAATGGGGACCATCAACTGTTTGGTTACCGACTTCAAAATATATTATTTTGTGTTTAGCAGCAGAAAGAAATTCATACAGGTTTGGAACAACTTGAGAGTGAGTAAATGATGACAGAATTCGTTTTTTATTTTTGGGTGAACTATCCCTTTAAATTGATTGATCTTCTGAATGATCATGTGACACTGAAGACTGGAGTAATGATTGCTGAAAATTCAGCTTTGCCATCACACACACACACACACACACACACACGATACTGCACAATTTTATCACAGGAATCAATTAATTATTAAAATATGTTCAAATAGAAAACAGTCATCTAAAATTGTGATGATATTTCATTACTTAACATTCATAAATTATTTACTGTTTCAACCCAAAATGTATTATATATTTACTATATTCTATATGTGTACTACATTCTAAGATCCAGAACAATTGTCACTACTCAAATAAACAAATTTGACCATTTGAACTCAGAAAACCTGACACATGTATGCGTAAAAGAGGAAGGCACTGTTGATTTTGATTAAAAGTTGCTGTAGTTACACTATACGCTAAAAGTGCAAGCAGAGCAGAGACCTGAGAGATGGATCGACACTTTGGCTATTTGAGGCTGAGGTTAAACATTACATTCAGCCCCAGACAAATGCACCTGCCTCTCTGACACTGATGTGAGCTGAAAATATAGCCTTGTCTATTTACACAAAAAGTGTAAACAAGCTTTTAATACTGAACCAATGTACAGGTTTTTTTTTTTTTTTTTCAGTTTGTTTTGGGTTTAGTTTTTGGTTTCAAAATAGGACATACATCATGTCACGCAGGGGTGTCAAAAACAGTAGCATGATGTCATGTATGCACAGTCAGCTTCAAACACTCTACTGCATCACCAGAGGCACTCTGGCTCTGTTCTGTATGCTGGTTTGAGCTTAGGGATTTAAATTGCATTCCTTCGAGTCATTTCTGTTCTATTTTCTAGGGCGATTCGTCTTTTGTTGTGATGACCAACTACATTTCCACTGTGGGACAGAAACAGGACACATGTCCTGAGGTAAGTAAAGACATAGTTCTCTCCTTTTGTCATCTCTGTTGTCTTTCATTATTGTGGTTCTTGTGGTATGTTTGTTTTTTTATCTCAGATTAATATCTCTATTTGACAAATTTCCTGACCACAGATGTCATGCAGCATGCAAATGGAAATTTTCCCACACAATATGGAATTGTTGTTTTTAAGAGAACAGAATCATTTTCCATATAAAATCCATTTGTAATGCAGTGTGTCCAACGTTTTAGCATCACCTGAAATACAGTTGAAAACACTGAAGTTATTGCTTTTGAAACGCACTCATGCCAACTTGCACATTTGGTCATTCCGTTCTGTTTTTTTTTATGCTGAAATTTTTCAGTAGATTTATTGCATTGCTCATTAAAATGTATAAAACGTCTGTACATATCCTGATACTGAACTCACGATACGATATTATTGTGATACTCCAAGACATGATAAAAGGTTAAAAAAAATTCTGTTGATTAAAATGCTAAATTTGATTTTACATTGTGGGTGTGAATGAATAAGCTAGGACTTGGTGCTGGAAACCCAATGCACAGGACAATGGTGACACCAGAATAAAAATATTGATGATTCTGAAGCTGAAAATACAGAATTATTTTAGACGGATATGCTTGCACTCTGTCACTGACTACTAGATATATTTAAAATAATGTAGGACAAACTAGACTTAAAACAATGGGGCAGCCTACCCCTTTCTCTTGTTGGGAGAGTGGAGACCATTAAAATGAATGTTTTACCGCGACTTTTATTTCACTTCCAGTCTCTCCCTCTTTTTCTACCTAAATCTTTTTTTAAATATCTAGATAAAACCATCTCCTCATTTATTTGGGCTGGTAAAATTCCTGAAGTGAATAAAACTATCCTGCAACGACATAAACGTGATGGAGGTCTAGACTAGCTCTGCCAAATTTTCTTTTTTATCACTGGTCCGCCATCATTTCTAAGATTTTCTTGTGGTGTAATGCGCCGGAGGTCAACTGGTGTACTCTAGAAGCTGCTACTTGTCTTTCTTCTTCTCTTCCTGCACTTGTCTTTGCTCCTTTGTCTCTGCATCCCTCTAATTATACTAGAAATCCTATTGTGCTATCAACTTTAAAAATCTGGAAACAATTTCGACAAGTCACTATCTTAAGTCCTATTTGCAACAATCACTTGTTTTTACCACCAGCTATTGATCACACTTTTAAAAGATGGAAAGATAAGGGGATGGCCTGTTTTTCAGATCTTTTTATTGATAATTCTTTTGCTTCATTCACCAATCTTATGTCCAAATTTAACCTGCATACTACAGGCTTATTCAGGTATTTTCAACTCCGCGGTTTTGTTAAAGGGATACTCCACTTTTTTTGGAAATATAGGCTCATTTTACAACTCCCCCAGAGTTAAACTGTTGAGTTTTACCGTTTTTGAATCCATTCAGCCGATCTCCGGTTCTGGCGGTACCACTTTTAGCATAGCTTAGCATACATCATTGAAGTGGGCAAGACCATTAGCATTTCTCAAAAAAAAAAATGACCAAAGAGTTCCGATATTTTTCATATTTAAAACTTGACTCTTCTGTAGTTACATCGTGCACTAAGACCGACGGAAAATGTAAAGTTGCGAATTTTCTAGGCTGATATGGCTAGGAACTATACTCTCATTCCTGCGTAGTAATCAAGAAACTTTACTGCCGTACCATGAGTGCAGCAGGTGTAATGATATGACGCAGAGCCTGAAAATAGGCTACCTTCCGTCAACATAACTAACGTGACAACCTGCTTGCACAGGGAGCCTATTTTCAGGCTCTGCGTCATATCATTACACCTGCTGCACTCATGGTACGGCAGTAAAGTTTCTTGATTATTACGCAGGAATGAGAGTATAGTTCCTAGCCATATCAGCCTAGAAAATCGCAACTTTACATTTTCCGTCGGTCTTAGTGCACGATGTAACTACAGAAGAGTCAAGTTTTAAATAGGAAAAATATAGAAACTCTTTGGTCATTTTTTTTTGAGAAATGCTAATGGTCTTGTCCACTTCAATGATGTATGCTAAGCTATGCTAAAAGTGGTACCGCCAGAACCGGAGATCGGCTGAATGGATTCAAAACCGGTAAAACTCAACAGTTTAACTCTGGGGGAGTTGTAAAATGAGCCTATTTCCAAAAAAAGTGGAGTATCCCTTTAAGACGAACTTCCCTAGTTTCCCTCAATTACCAGAAAAATCTCTGGTTGAGAACTTATTGTCAGCCCCTACAGGTGGTAGTCGTATATCCTCTGTCTACACCATGTTACTTTCATCTAGTACGTCCTCTCTCTCCTGCCTCAAGATGACTTGGGAAAATGAGCTGCGAATCAAGTTATCGGAAGAGCTATGGTCTGAGACCCTTGCTAAAGTTAATTCTACTTCTATATGTGCTCGGCTGAGTCTTATTCAGCTAAGTCTTTCATCGAATTCATCTTACCAAAGCTAAACTTCATAAATTGTTTCCAGAAACAGGGGACTACTGTAACAGATGCTCCTTTTCTCCCGCCGATCACACCCATACATTTTTTAGCTGCCCAAAACTGGCCTCATATTGGGCTTCTTTTTCTCCATGCCCTCTAGTCGCCATTTTTGGTGTGTCTCACTCGTCATCCATCACGAGACAGAAAGCAGAGGTTATTGCTTTTGCTTCTCTTATTACTAGAATGTGTATTTTGTTGCATTGGAAGTGTCCAACCCCTGCAGTTTTACCTGCTGAACTTGGCAACCACAATCTGATCTGTTACTTTCCATCTAAGTTATTTTCATACATGGACATCCTGTCTACCATCTATTCATTCATATTCATGCTCTCGGTTTACCTCAGTCATATTTGTCTTTCACTTGAATCTCTATTTGACTTTATTGCCCTACCTGCAAAGCTTTGCTTAAACAAATGATTAGGTTTTGTTGTTATTCTGCCCCTTCTGTGCATCCTGTCTCATTTGGATCTCACATTTGTATATTTTCAAGCAAGCAAATTATCGGGCTTAATTAAACACTAATAGACATTAAAGTGCAGTTCCCATCTTGTGTGTTTCAGCTGCCAGATGGGAAGAACAAGAACAAGTGCACCTCGGACACAGACTGTGATGAGGGCAAATACAAACGTACGGGAAATGGTAAAGTTCTATCCATTTCATTGTCCCGACAGAAGGCACCAGCACAGCAGACTAACTTCCCATCACTAACAGCAGCCGGGGGGCAGAGAAACTCAGCTATTGAGTGTCTTCTCATGACCATTCTATAATCCCTTTGACCTTGACTGGCAACTAAATCAGTCTACCAGCGGTCTAAGATATGTCCCACAAAATTCAAATAAATCATGGGGTAAGAAAATTGGTGCACTTGCACGTAAGCATTTGGTTTCAGTTCCACTCAGAATTGCTGGGGGCCTAATGAACTTTCGCTCTTCTAACTCCACATCAGCCATGCCGTCGTCTCCGTAAGTCACTAACATTCATGACTAACATGCTTTGCTCTCTTGCTCTGATGTTTTTTCCTTAGCTTTCCACATCTTTGATGGATTTAAGATGGATCCAACATCTTTGATCTGATGTCTGTAATTCCCAGAGTTCCACAGGGCTCTAATCCAGATTCAGTTCAATTGCCAAGTGTAATTTAATAGTACTAGCAGCAACAACATGTTTGAGATACAAAGCAAATAGAATTAAAGGAATTCAGGTTCCACATTTCAAACATTCTCAGTAGCCAAATTCTACCTTATCATTTACAACAGGAGCTATGCTAAATTATCCCACTGCTACCCAAACATAAATAAATTAAACTCATGCTAAATGATTTATATATATATATATATATATATATATATATATATATATATATATATATATATATATATAACTCATGCTAAATGATTTATATATATATCATAATGATTGGCATAAAGCTGATTTAAAAAAGAAATGCAATCAAACCCACATTATTGACCGATATCCTGAGCTCTATGTGGGTCACAAATACTCAAATATTGACAAAGTTTCACATGCAGCATAGCAGACATACAGGCATAAGTAAACAGAATAATCTCACATTGCATAGTTCTCTTACGAGAGTACTCTCGTGTTGCGTAAGCTAACTTACGCTACGGGAAAATCCCCTTTCTCGAGAATACTGAAGCCAAAAAATTATCCTTAATTTTGCATTAATTTAAAGTGCATTGCTGCACAAAGCAGACCTAGGCGAGGCAGCTCGCACGCCTATTGGTTGCTCTGCGGCAACTTGTGCGTTTCCTGCCTGGGACTTAACCATGCGGACCTCGCGCTTTCCAGGGGCGGCTGCCCGGAATGCGACATGAACCCTGCAGGCTCGATTAGTCTCTTTCACCGCGGACCCCTCTCCTCCGCTACTGTCGTCAGGACCGCACGGTAAGAACCGCCGTTCGCAAATAACCCCGGAGAGCTGGAAGGAGCCATTTTCTGCCAGGCTGCGGTCGACGGTCTCTTCGACGCTCTCCGTTGTGGATGGCGCGAAGGAAAAAGGCTACCTCTCCATTCCTCTGGTCAAGGAAGCGGTGGCCAATCACTTATGCCCGGCCTCCGCTGGATGGCAGTCCAAGCCATCTGTACCATCGAAAGCCTGCAGGACTACTTCGGCTCTCAACGGTCACGCCTATACCGCCGCCGGTCAGGCCGCCTCAGCGCTTCACTCGGTGGCGGTGCTTCAAATTTACCAGGCCAACCTTCTCCGCGTTATGGACGAATCCTGAGAACTTTACAGATCTCAGAAGCGCCACGGACTTAGCTCTGCGAGCCACCAAGTCCGCTGCTCAGGGTATCGGGAGGAACATGGCGTCTCCCACTGTCACCTAGAGACACTTATGGTTGACTCTGTCTGACATCAAGGAGTCCGACAGAGCTACCTTCCTCGACGCGCCCGTGTCTCCATCCGGTTTCTTCGGCCCGGTGGTGAAAGGCTTCACTGAGCGTTTCTCTGAAGTTCAGAAAACGTCGCAAGCCATGCGGCATTTTATCCCGAGACGCTCCAGTTCCGCGACAGGGCGCTCGAAGCAGCAGCCGCCTAACCGGTCCGGAACTCAGCGCCACCACCGCCTCTGCCACCAGCTTCACAGCGCTGTCGCCCTGGGGACTCTCAGCAGCGTTAGTGCTCTTCCAGTTACCACGGGCCGCCTCACCCCCGGGGTCCCAAGTCTTTCTGACCGTCCAGAGAAGACGAAGATGGTTGAGTCCCGCCGCGGCCGGACCGCCATCAAAGACAATGCACATCGCTCTCTCAGCTTCCTCAACAGAGGCGGCTGGAGAAGTGTATTTCACATCCAAAAGCCGTTTTCACGGCTACCCAGATAAATCTCAAAAAGAGCATTATGTCTGTTTGTCCGGCTCACGCCGAAGGTGTTATGAATGTAGGAGCGGTGCCCACTTCCCAGTGCCCACCCCTACACATAAGCACCGCTCAGTGACACACACTCATTCACGGCTCAAAGTGTATGTTGCAGCCATAGCAGCGTTTACAAAACCCTTGCATGGCCAGTCATTGGGAGGATCTCATCGTCCGCTTCCTTAGAGGGGCTAGGAGGCTAAACCCTCCTCGACCCCCTATGGTTCCGGTCTGGGACCCTTGCATGGCCAGTCATTGGGAGGATCTCATCGTCCGCTTCCTTAGAGAGGCTAGGAGGCTAAACCCTCCTCGACCCCCTATGGTTCCGGTCTGGGACCCCCTATGGTTCCACGGTCCTAGACGCTATGAAAAGCGACCCCTTCGAACCACTGCAGTCTGTGAATCTGCGGTGTCTCTTGCTCAAAACCGTTTTTCTCATGGCTCTCGCTTCAGTCAAGCGTGAGCGATGTGAGCGCTACGTGCATTGAGTTTTGGCCTAATGACTCTAAAGTCATTCTCAAACCAAGACACGGCTATGTCCCCAAAGTGCTCACCACTCCGTTCAGAGCGCAAGTCATTTCACTGTCAGCCCTCCCAGGATCTGATGGTGAGAACGGGCGTAAATCTTCTTTGCCCGGTCAGGGCGCTAAGAATATACATCGAGTGTTCGGCTGCTTTCAGGCAGCCAGAACAGCTTTTTGCTTCGTTTGGCGGCCGCACTAAAGGGCTAGCCACCTCGAAACAGAGCCTTTCCAGATGGATAGTTGACGCTTTCGCTCTGGCTTATAAGTCTAAGGGCCTTCGATGCCCTTTAGGCGTTAGGGCCCATTCCACTATAGGCATGGCCTCTTCATGGGCCTGGTCCAGTGTGGTTTCACTCCAGGATATTTGTATGGCGGCAGGCTGGGCTTCTCCGTCTAAATGTTTAAGGTTTTACAACCTGGAAGATCCTGCCCTACAGGCTAAGCTGTTTTCAGTCTAAAAAGTCTTTTCAGTCCATCCTGACTGTTATACTGTGCTAAGCACCCATTCCAGTAAAACATACATATGGCTATGTTATATTTATTAGGCCCACGCCTCGTTGGCCTAGACATTACCCACTATCATGTGTAACCTGGGCACATGGGGGCCATGTGTGGACGACCTTAGCACGCACGGCGCTTTACATTGGGTTCCCGTAGCGTAAGCTAGCTTACGTAACACGAGAGTACTCTCGTAAGAGAACGTACTCGGTTACTGACGTAACCTCGGTTCTCTCTAGATGAAGGAACGAGTGTTGCGTAACCCTGCTGTGCTTATGCTGCGTTCTGGTTTCGCTTCAGTATGAAAAACCAAAGAACACCCTATCTGGACTCTGCTTATATAGACATAACTTATAAGCCACGACCTTTCTGGCGGGACGTGACGCGCGCGGGCGCCCGCGCCCTCATTGGTGCTTACGTCACGTACAGTCCACGATAGGTTGCCGCAGAGCAACCAATAGGCATGCGAGCTGCCTCGCCTAGGTCTGCTCTGTGCAGCAATCCGTTTTAAATTAATGCAAAATTAAGGATAATTTTTTGGCTTCAGTATTCTCGAGAAAATAGATTTTCCCGTAGCGTAAGCTAGTTTACACAACACTCGTTCCCTCATCTAGAGAGAACCGAGGTTACATTAGTAACCGAGTACGTTTCACATCATAGTTTCCTGACTTTCAGTCATGTATGACTGGCACAAACTTCCAACAAACTTTAATACAACACGTGCTACTAATCCTGTTACATACTGACTCTGTGAACTTAGGAAAGAATTCACTGTCGTTTTCTGTGAAAACACAACTGTCTTGTTTATGCCATGCTGTGGACTGCATTTTATTTCATGCTAATTGTATAATTATGTCTTTGTGTATTTGATGTTATGTGTATTTAATCCTTGACACAAGGTTTGTCAATGCCATGCTACCACCAAAGCAAGTTCAGTGTTTGAATGTAAATGTTCCTGGCAATGTAAAAAGAGTCTGACTGAAATTACAAACATGTGATATGACCAACTGCAATCTGATGAAAGCATTCCTAAATAGCTAGACTGATGGAATCGTTATGATTTAAAAAAAAAATATTACAACTATAAGAGGTTTGGAGTGGATCAGAACAGACTGAAACAAGAGCTTGATCAAAACATAATCATGTGCTCCAAAGAGAAGTATTTTTCTAATTGAATCCATCCATACATCCAAATTAGAAAAATATATATCAAAGCATTTTCACAAGGGAAGTCAGACTTTTGGATCCAATGATCATCCCTCGTGATTATGTTTTGATCAAGCTTTTGTTTCAGTCTGTTCTGATCCACTCCAAACCACTTATACTCCTACTTCCCTTACACATTATGTTCTCTCTCAGGGCACATGACGGGCAAGTGTAACACCAACACCAGTACTTGTGAGATCTACTCCTGGTGTCCTGTTGAAGACGACCGTCAAATACCAGAGTATGGCTGCTTATTTTATTATTATTGTTGATTAATATGTTCAATCACATTGGGGTGTCAAACAGTAACTTGTAAGAATCATTGTGGCACGACTTTGACAGAACTTCAGGACTTCAGTTATTTTTCTTAACGGTGCAGTAATCGATTTCTGGAAAGAAAAAGAAAAGAAAAAAAAGGATTGGACAGAGCACCACAACTTGTAGCCAATCAGCAGTAGGGGGCATATACACTCATGATGGGGGAGAAGAGAGAGTGAGTAAGAGGGAGATTTGAAGATTTCTGACATTGTCAAATTTTGACATCAACAAAAGAGGAAAGTTCAGAGGAATATCTGGAAAAAGTTGTGATCAGGCAAGAGCTTTAGGACCCGTGTTAATATTAGAAAAGCTTTCCAGTGCTGGAGAGACGTACATCAAGGTTGCGTTGTTTCTGCTGTGAGTAACATTGGTTTTGAGTGTGTGCTGCTGACGACTAACAACAAACTCTTGCTTGTACTCGTCTACTGCATGTTCATTTTTTTGTTAGCAGCGTTGCATTATACCAGCAATGTATTATAGTTTGACTATAATGAATTTTGTTACTGTGTATTAAACAGCAAACACTCACCATTTCTGAATAGCTTGAACTTCATGTCTATGTAGAAATCTTGGGAACAGGTGAATCAAACCACATGTGACAGTTGCCTTAAACATAAATGTATGTTTGTTAATACGTGGAGCATGTGACAAATTGTATTTAAAATGGTTTTGAATCAGCCCACAGTCTGATCCATTTAACTTTGTTTTGTCCCTCATGTAGCCCTCCAATCCTGCAGACAGCAGAAAACTACACACTGTTCATCAAAAACTCCATTACTTTTCGCCAGTTTAATGTAGTAAGGTAAATGCTTTCTTTTCCAATTTGTTTGTTGTTCCTTGTGGTATAATGGCAACTCCTAAACATCAATTCAAAGCATATAAAGCGTTTTTGAAATCTCATATGAAAGCAAAAGGAAAATTTTAACTTAGAAAAGACTATTTTAAAAGTGCCTTTCCTATAAACCAGGTGTCTTCAAGTCAAGTCAAGTCATCTTCATTTATATAGCGCTTTTAAAGGAGATTGTTTCATAGCAGCTTTACAGAGATGAACATACAATTTACGGTAACAGAGATTGTTTTGGCTTTATAGCGATTTTTGAATAATGTTATTTCCAGCTAAAGTTGGTTTTGATTGATTCACTTCCAGCAAAATTATCATTTGTTATTACATTAGGGGCCACTAAGACGACGGCGTTCTCTCTAAACAGACTTTAAACGCGAACCTGTGACCGGATGGCGTTCACATGCGCATTAAAAATTGATTCTAGTTATATTCGTTCAACAGGGGGATCGATGGAGGTACTGTTGGAAGCCTGCATTTATCAAATGAACTTTTGTTGAAAAAAAGGAAAATATGTATTAAACAAAATGAGGGGGTAGTCACATTATGAAATAAATGTTTTTCTCCTAAACAAGAAATTTGCTATGACTTCTTGTTTCACAACAGGAGTATAATTATGAGGAAACACAATGGCCAGATTCCCTTAATCATCCATCACAATGCGTAAAACCAAAGAATACAGTTCTGATGTGCAGCAAAAGATTGTTGAGCTTCACAAAATAGAAAGTGACTCTCCAAAGATGACATATGGAGAATTGCAAAGATTAGTTGAGTCTTGGGGTCAGAGAGCCTAAAATAAAATAGGGGGAAGAAAGCAATAGAAAGTTGCATTAATAAATATTCATGCTAAAGTGTTACTTGGTTAAATAAGTTCACATGCTGAGATCAGTTTAATCTAGCTGTTGCATTTATTTTTTAAATGTGGAGCCTCAGCTCACAGTCAAGCTCCTTTAGTGTGCAGTCTAGCTCCATAGGCTCCTTTAGTGTGCAGTCTAGCTCTATAGGCTCCTTTAGTGTGCAGTCTAGCTCCATAGGCTCCTTTAGTGTGCAGTCTAGCTCTATAGGCTCCTTTAGTGTGCAGTCTAGCTCTATATGCTCCTTTAGTGTGCAGTCTAGCTCTATAGGCTCCTTTAGTGTGCAGTCTAGCTCTATAGGCTCCTTTAGTGTGCAGTCTAGCTCCATAGGCTCCTTTAGTGTGCAGTCTAGCTCCATAGGCTCCTTTAGTGTGCAGTCTAGCTCTATAGGCTCCTTTAGTGTGCAGTCTAGCTCCATAGGCTCCTTTAGTGTGCAGTCTAGCTCTATAGGCTCCTTTAGTGTGCAGTCTAGCTCCATAGGCTCCTTTTGTAAAGGGCCCTGACTGAGTCTGTTTCCACCTGAAACATAATTCCACCACAAACATGATCATTACAAGTTTTTGGGAGGCTAATCAACTCACAAAAAGTTCCTTGACAAACACCTGTAATATATGTCAAGGGTTTTAAATCCGTACCTTGTTCACATTTCTTTTGAAGCCTGTTGAGGTAGAGGCTTCAGTTTCTGGGACAGGTTGTGAAAAATCCTACAATAAAAGAGATGTGTAACTTGGGCCAGTCCCTGTTTTATGCCACACATTCAAATGTTTGCCTTAATAAAAAGCCCAGTGCATTCACCTCAGCAACTGTCCCAGAACACAGACAGAGTGTCTTCATCATTTCCTCCTCCCTGATAAATAAAAGTAAGCCAATATGTTTCTGGTGTTCTGTCTGCTGCATACTGACCTCTGTGTGGGAGACTGTGTGTGTGTGCTGGCTTCAACAGGGACACTGCATTTCCCTCGACTGCAGAGACTTACAGTCAGCCATATTTAAAACTTAAAATAGTAATGTATCGCACACGTACCCAGTGTTACTTGCTTAGAGGAGCCGGCACCAGGGTCAGATTGTACAGCACCTGTAATCCCATCCATAATCGGCCGTCCCTTATTCCTATCAGAGCCAACTCAGTGTATTCTGGAGGAGTGGCCCTCCACTGGTTTTCTGAATTTCACTCTTTTTTCGGTTTGCCTCAAACAAGTGTTAATAAAAAATAATAAAAGGTTGTGTGTAAATACTTAGGCTACTTTGAATTATATTTTTATATTTTGTCTTTATCAGCTGCCAAGAACGTTTGGAGTTGCATCTAAAAATCAATGAATATTAATCTTTATTAGTATATACATGCACATTTTTTATATATATTATAAAAATATAGGCTATATTTCACACACACACATACATTCATAGCCTATATATACACACATCATTTTACATGAATAAAGAACGTATTTATTTAGCTTACACATTAACACAATCAGCAATCTTTCTCCAACAGTCTTCTCTTGCTTTGGCAGCAGAGACCGTATTGTTTCGAGCTTGTAATACATATTTAAATTCATCGTAATTCTGAATGATTATCTATTGCTCCTTCGCGGAAAGAAAATATCGCTCTCGCTCTATCCATATCGAACGCGATTGGTTGTTCGGTGCCAACGTCACTTTGGTATGTGCACGCGCTCGTGGAGTAATCATAGCTTAAGATCAAAGCCTGAGTTGACAGAGAAAGTTGATGAGCTGCGTAATGGGACCAATAAAGCCTGATTGCATCGGTTTGGTTTTGTCAACTCAAAACTAATCCTGTAACTCTGAGTTTGTTCAGCTACCTTCATATAGGCCCCAGATGTGTTTGGTGCAAACAGGGATAAAAAGTACCCCATGCCCACAGTTAAATATACAGCTGGATCTTTAATGTTGTGGGCCTATTTTTTAGCTGAAGGATTTAATTCATTATGTGATTTTCCCACTTTCAATTCTTTTACTTCAATGAAAGGTTAGATTTTTGCAAAACATAAAAAAAAACGATAAAAAGGGGAAAACAATGCAGATTTATTTTTATAGCCATCTTTGATCATATTTACCAGGGGTGCCAATAATTCTTACCACAACTGTAAATCAATATGTTACTTAACACATTATTGAAGGCTAGGGTTAAAATTAAATTTTGTCTACTAGATGAACGTTCTCCTCATACGTTTTTCTTTCTCTAGGAGTAACTTGGTGGAGAGTGTGGACCAGAATTACATCAATAGCTGTTTGTATCACCCCAAGACTGATCCACTGTGTCCTATCTTCAGATTGGGAGACATTGTTGAGCGTTCCGGGCTCAATTTCTCTGACATAGCTCGTGTGGTAGGTTTTTTTTGTCACTGATGATTTTAAATACACACACACAGCAATTTTTTTTCTTTATGAGTAAAATAAAAGCCAATTCACACTGCACTGACGTCTAACAAGGACAATCACCAGATTACAGTACATGAAAATGTTCAATCAGCGAAAACAACGCCGACATTATTAATAATACACAGATCTGACAAAACCTGACAAAGTGCTGTTGTCGTTGGTCGGCGTCTTTCAGTGCAGTTGGAATTGGCTTTAAGGTCTGTGCTCAACAAAACTTGAAGAGACCTTCATATTTTGTTCTATAATTGTGATTTTATGTGATGCATTGTTTACAGCTTTACGTATTTAAATAACATCTTGCAATTGCAACTATATTTCTCATAATTGCGACTATTTCTTACAGTCGTGACTTAACTCACTGTTACATCATATCTCCTAATTGTGACTTTAAATCTTATAATTGACTTTAAATTCTTATTTTAAAATGTCTTTTTTTCAGAGGTGAAAACAAGCTTCCATAAAAATAATAAAAATTTTAAAAACGTAGGAAATTCCCAAGGAACCTATGGCTTAAAAATGCTAATTTCCTCCTGCTGCAAATACATCTATTTCAACACATCCAATATTACATTTTTACTATGACATTATTTATTAAAGGTTTACAAGAGTATTATTGTTGTAGTGACTCGAGAAGACTGATGAAGATAATAATCCTCATGGTATTTGTGATGTTTTAGGGTGGTGCTATAGGCGTCCTCATTGACTGGGACTGCAATCTGGACCTAAGTATCAGACATTGCAAACCAAAGTATGAATTCTATGGTCTTTATGGAACAGGGAAAAATGAAAAAGTGGAGAAACCATCATTGGGATACAATTTTAGGTGGGTAAGAAAGTTTATTCCCTTTTTAATCACCTTGTGAAAACAAACTTTTTGGAAGCAGAACTGGTAAAGAGACAAACACGGTTATATAATGAAATATTTTAGAATTTTCACTGCACAATCACAGATTATTTACCAATAATCATTACAGCATTACATAAAATTACAGCTAAACTGAGAAAAGGTCAAACCTGCTGTGCTGTACTGTACTGTTCATAAGCCTGTGACCTTCAATGAGATCTCCAAAATAATTAATTAATATCTTCTGGATTCACTTGAACTATTATGTGCTACTGACTCTTTCAGATTTGCTAAATATTATATGGAGAATAAAGTGGAGAAGAGAACACTAATGAAGGTGTTTGGTGTACGGATAGACATCATTGTTCATGGACGGGTAAGGATAATTTTCTTATGGATCATATACAAAGAAATTACGGCACATGCACATTTCAATTTTTGTTTACACTTTTCCTTGTAGGCAGGAAAATTTGATATCATTCCAACGCTGACGGCCATAGGCTCAGGAGTAGGAATCTTTGGAGTGGTGAGTCTCACAGAGAATACACTATCATAAATAGATAAACCTGGTTTAATTTCCTTAATTACATTTAACCACAGATTCCACTTTTGGATTCTATTGTTCAAAGTAATCAAGGTGAAGATACCAGATGAAAAAAAAAATTTGTGTTCTATTCTCCATGTTAAATATGCATTTATGTGGAACTATATTGCACAGCTCTATGAAATGCTTGATTCTGATTGGTCCACTGTGGTCAAATAACTTTGAATTAAATTTTTGAATTGTTAAAAGTCGTCTCTTATCCTCATCAAAATACAGTAAATGCAGTAATATTGTGAAAAATTATTACAATTGTTTTGTGGTTTTTATATACTGGTATATATTTTTAAATGTTATTTATTTCTGTGACAGTAAATCTGAATTTTCAGCATCATTACTCCAGTCTTCAGTGTCACATGATCCTTCAGAAATCATTCTAATTTGCTGAACCATTTCATATGATCAGTGTTGAACACTGTTATGCTGCTTGTGGAAATGTTTTTTTAGGATTCTTTTATGAAAAGAAAGTTCAAAAGAGCATCAATTGTTTGAAACAGAAATATCTTGTATACAGTTAATTTCATAACTATAAGTTCACTGAAGTGAGTTAATATTTGTTCTAATTCATTTAAGGCCACCGTCGTGTGCGATTTGCTCCTTCTATATTTACTTCCAAAGAGAGATTTCTACAAAAGTATGAAATTCAAGCATACAGAAGTCCAGGAAGCGGTGAGTGTTGACTTTTGAATGAATAAACAGTATCCTGCCTTTGTGAGTGCTGGTGTGTAACTTAATGCTTTTCATGGATAGCCTAGAATAGATACAGTAGTTGCTAGTTATTTATGCTAGTTCACTACCCATAGCCTAGACTAGATGGCAGCAGAGATACATAGTTAGATGACATGCAAGAAAATTGTTACTTGAGCGGTTGCAGATGCAGTGCTGTTTCCAAACATTTACATCAAGCAAAATTCCTGTAGTATCATTAAGAAAACATCCAGGATATGCATAATTCAAATGCCCTCATATGGTATACAAAGCACGCCTCACTTGAACTGATGGAGTGTGTGTGAGAGAGGAAAATACGTCCTATAACAACACATGCGTCAGCAAATATCTTACTTTTGATCCGTATGCACGTGGGCAGTAAGGGAAACTATTGCATTCAAGTCTATGCAGCACCACGGCTTCCTGTAGATATCTCTGCAGGGATAGTTACCGTAGCAACGCTGCAAATTGACCAAACTTGTCTCTTATTGAGAAAAGAAAGCGAGGGCACTTCTTAACCAGCAGGACTCCCACTCTAGCAGCTCTCTGAGAAAGGCAAGGCAAGGCAAGTTTATTTATATAGCACATTTCATACATAATGGTAATTCAAAACATAGAAGAAATTTAAATAATCAAAAGAAATAAGAATAATTAAAACAGTTTAGAATAAAAAATAAAATAAAATACAGTACAAACAGTCGGACGAACAGTGGCACAGTGCTCATTCATTAAAGGGCCCCTATTATGGATTTTTGAAAATGACCTTTCATCATGTAGTATGTAACAGCTCTAAGGGGCTGTTTACACCTGGCCACTTCATGCGTTTTCTCAGATCGGATAGCTATCTGATTTACATACCTGCCAACTTTTGAGTTTTGCTCGGCGTGAGATTTGTTGACGTGGGGGGGGGGGGAGGGGGGGTAGAGACGAGTGAGATTTGTTGACGGGGGGGGGTCTCGCTCGCGCAAGGTCTCTCGCTCGCGCAAGGTCTCTCGCTCGCGCAAGGTCTCTCGCTCGCTCTACGCGGTTTGGAGCACAATCTCTGTCTCGCATGCACGCTCGCTCTAGATAACGGGAGATTTTTAACGAATTTGCGGTATAACTAGTCGATCACGAGTGGCTCAACAGGTAGATATATAGATAAACTCATCTTCCAGGCATTTGACCGCCCGGGTTGACACTTCAGCGTGAGAAATCGGGAGTGTGGCGTGTGAGCGTGTGAAACCAATCAAATGCGGGTGTCTCACGGCCAATGCGTGAGAGTTGGCAGCTATGGATTTATCAAAACGATTCCATTTACACCTGGTCACATAAATGTGTTTTTGCAAAATCCGATCTTCAATTCCCGCGCTATAAGCAGATTTAATGGAGTGCACGTCACCGAAAGCAACAGATAAGCGCTGCATTTTATTGATCATCAGCTAATTTCAAAATCAAAGACCGCAATAAGAGAGAGCGGCAACAGCCCTGGTAAGATCATTTCGTTTCTTTACTTTTAATGAAGGTGATTAGTGTGTTAAGCGTCTGCGACTTACTTTCACTTTGATTTGCGATAGTTTGCACGTTGGCTTGATGAAGAGATGCTCAGCTGCTCCTCTGCGGCAATGCGTGTTGCAGTAGCGACGTCATATCTGACTATAACATGACATATAGCCTATAATACGCTCTCACACGTTTATTTTTTAGGATTTTTGGGAGGAGTAAAATTTACATATGTGGTTTCAACAACCAGATGCATTTACACTTGTCCAGTTTCATCTGGAATGCGGCCCAGACCACCTCCTGAAGTGGTTTGAGCGATCGGATTTAAATCCGTCTCGAATGCGTTTCAGAGGGCATTTACACCTGGTCTTTTCACGATCGGATAGCTATCCGATCACAGAAAACGCATGAAGTGGCCAGGTGTAAACAGCCCCTAAGTGAATGAAAACATCCTGCAAAGTTTTAAATCTGAAAGTGCACCGTATATTAAGTTATTGTCTTTCAAAAGTAAGAGTCGACTCTGAGTCAATAAAATGAATCGTTTTTCAAAGTCATAAGCCGTTTCGTCAAGACGAAACATTAGTATATTGCCCGTCCACGTAGTAGGCCTATATTGCTTGAAACTTCAGTTCAAATCAGAGGCTAAAATCAAGCTAGGAAAATTGCCTTTTATTTCTAAATTATGACTATTTTTTATCTAAAAAACATACTAACATTATAAGGGCAACCCAGGAAACATTTTAAAATAATACAATCACCCCATGTCAGGGGACCTTTAACTGAAGAAAGTTTTGGCACATCCAACTGTTTACTTCATCAATGCATTGCCACAGGGAGTCAATGGGGCTGTAGTCGTTTGGCGATAGGGCTAAGTAGAGCTGTGTGTCGTCTGCATAGCTAGCAATTTGGTTCTTTCTCATTATTTGGCTCAGTGGGAGCATATACAGGTTGAATAGGAGTGGCGCAAGAATTGAGCCTTGAGGGACTCCGCAAGTCATGGATGTCCACTCAGACTTATGGTCTCCTATACTTACATAATAACCTCTTCCTCTTAAGTATGACCTGAAACACTTTAGGACTATCCCAGAAAGCCCCACCCAGTTTTCCAGCCTGTAAAGTGCGTCAAGGGCGCAGGTTGATGTTTTAAGGTGCTGTACGGTTTCTTCCAAAATTTTGCCATCATTTTCTTCGAAATCAGACATAATAACTACTTTCTCAGGGAGTGGTCTGATCTGTCTGACCCCAGCGCAACTCAAGGATGAGCTGATCACCTTTCTGATATTATTGATTTTCTCAGAGAAGGAGGAAGCAAACTCACTGCACTTGCTGTCTGAGAGCATTTCTCTGGGAATGTGACTTGGGGGGTTTGTCAGTCTCTCTACAGTAGCAAAAAGAGTGCGTGTGTTGTTTAGGTTGCCGTTTATAATATTCAAGAAGAAAGTCTGTCTAGCTTTGCCTAGTTCCATATTGAAAGCATGGATGCTGTCTTTGTAGATGCTATAATGGACTACAAGTTTTGTCTTTCGCCACATGCACTCTGCTTTTCTGCATTGTCTTTTCATATTTTGCACTGCTGTTGAGTTTCTCCAAGTCAGTCAAGTTAAGTCACCTTTATTTATATAGCGCTTTTTACAATACAGATTGTAACAAAGCAGCTTCACAGTGATAACATGAAAATAATACGTCCACCTTAAGTAAGGCAGATCAATAATATTGTTGAATATTAAATGTCCCCAACTAAGCAAGCCAAAAGCCAAGGCAACAGTGGCAAGGAACCAAAACTCCATCAGGTGACAGAATGGAGAAAAAAACCTTGGGAGAAACCAGACTCAGTCGGGGGCCAGTTCTCCTCTGGCCAATGAAGGAACAGTGTATGATTCGGGCAGCATTACAAGTCAGATTGGATCAGAACATTTAGAGTATTTATCCATTTCCATCTGGTTGGAAGTCGAAGTAATCACGCCGGTATGGAGACAAGTTGTTGAGGATCAGTGCCGATGGCTGTCGTGTCGATGAGGCCTTCACAGGGCTGATGAGGCTGGCACTTCAGGATGAGTTGGGATGGGTCCAGGCGCAGGTCCACCATAGACGGTCCCTCTGGATAAACAGAGAGACTAATATTAGCGTAGACGCCATCCTTCTTATGATGTACCAAGTACATCAGGATTTACGGGACGTGTTCCCGGTTCCGGCTGATCTAAACTATGCAGCCTAATTTTGAATTAAGGAAGTCTATAGTGTGTTATGTGTATGCTAGGCCAAAGAGATGTGTTTTTAGTCTAGATTTGAACTGACAGAGTGTGTCTGCTTCCCATTAGGAAGATTGTTCCAGAGATTTGGTCCTAAATTGGAAAAGGATCTACCGCCAGCAGTCGATTTTGATATTCTAGGTATTATCAACTGGCCGGAATTTCGAGAACGCAATAGAGGACTATAATAAGGACTATAATGCGTTAAGAGCTCGCCCAGGTACTGGGGAGCTAAACCATTTAGTGCTTTGTAAGTAATCAGCAATATTTTAACATTTATACGATGTTTAATAGGGAGCCAATGCAGTGTTGACAGAACCGGGCTTATACGGTCATACTTCCTGGTTCTGGTAAGAACTCGAGCTGCTGCGTTTTGAACTAGCTGTAGTTTGTTTATTAAGCGTGCAGGGCAACCACCCAGTAGAGCATTACAATAATCTAGCCTTGATGTCATGAACGCATGAACTAATTGTTCCGCATTTGTCAATGCGAGCATATGGCGTAATTTAGATATATTTTTAAGATGGAAAAATGCGGTTTTACAGATACTAGACAAGTGATTTTCAAATGAAAGATTGGTATCAAAGAGCACACCAAGGTTCCTAACCGACGACGAAGACTTAACAGAGCAGCCATCAAGTGTTAGACAGTATTCTAGGTTATTACGTGTGGAAGTTAGCTCCAAGGTGCTTTTTTTCTTCTTCCTGACTTTCACAGGAATAATATCATCAATTACACTTTTAGCTTTTGAGTTAAAAGAATCAAGGAGAAAATCAACAGTCAGTAGATATGCTTGGTGTTAAAGCCTTCATAAATAGCACACTAGTGTTCTCATTTAAGCGTCTTCTTGACAGACACAGATCTAGCTTCAATGGCAGGAGAGATCAATATATCAAAGAAAATACAGAAATGATCAGACAGTGCTACATCCTTAATAACAATTGATAAAATGTTTAGACCCTTACTGATAAGTAAATCTAAAATCTCCAGCAATGGCAAAACAGTCAAACTCAGTTCTGTAAAGTCCTCAGCAAAGGCTAGAGAGTATTTTGGAGGCCTGTAAATAATAAATAAAATGCGTGGAACACCTTTTAACACAATACCCAGATATTCGAAAGATGGGTAATTCCCAAATGATATTTCCTTACATTGATAGACATCTTTAAAAAGAGCAGAAAGAAAAACATTGTGGTTGATAATCTCAGATATGCATTTTTCCATCCACAGAAGCCAGCCGTGCCCCCGTCACAGAAAGAAAGAGAACTACCAAAGGTAACATACCATTCAACCGCAGATCTCTGAAGAATGATAGCATATCTTCATAAACAACTTCAATTTTAGTTGTTGTCACAGTAATTCAGATCTTTGCTGTGCACAGGAGTGAAGTCAAGACGGCTGCCACGATGACTGACTAACGTTACTGCACTGAAAACAAAACAACACCTCAACACTGGAGCATAAGCAAGACGGCCAGACAACTGTCTAACATCACTTTTCCTTTCTAAAGGACATTTCCTTCCCAAACTACTGAGAAAATATATCTAATCACTGTTTTGATTCAAGACGCATCTCCACTAGGTGTGTTAATATTGAGAGGCTCAGGACTGTAAATATTTTGTGATGTCTTTACAGAGTTTTCGGCAACTTTTTTTTTTCTACAAACAGGGTAATGTCTGGATGTGTCACCCATATACAAATCTTGATACTGAATCACCTTAAAACAGTTATTATTTTACTGATAGGTGTTTTGTACAGGTTTTTATTCTTGTAGCAAGTCAAACTGTGATGCAAACTGTGACCCCCTGATTTTTGTGTGAAATAAGCTTTAGATGAACCATCCAAAGCTGAAACTATCCAGCTCTAAAAGACAGCATGATGATGGTTTAGGCCTTTAGTTTTTACTTTAGCTCATCAATGAAACACTGAGCCAAAAAACATAGGGCGCTCAACGTCAAAAGTCTTTTATTTTATTATTATTATACACAGCTCTCTGGACTACTTGATATTAAATGGTCAATGGCAGCATTCAATGGTCAAATATTGCTGAATAACGATTACTCATCCCAACCGCTTATCTGTTGTGTAGCTGTGCTCATTTTCTGTCTCTAAAAGTATCAATATTTCATGCGCATATATATTTATTTGTTTGTAAAGTGGTTGCTGCTAAAAACAGATAGAGGATCAGGTAGAGTTCGGAGTTTCTGGACACTCAGTCTCTTTCTTCTGACATAATGAAATAATTTACACTCAAATCAAAACCAAACCAAACCCTTTCAGGATGATACAAACCCCCCTCTGCTTTGTACCGGTCTCCTGATAACTCTGTCTGGATTCATTTTAGATTTATTTACAATGGCTTAGTTCTTCTTTGTTTGCATCTACCTAGATTTTAGTTTCTCTAACCTTTTTTTTTATGAATTTACATTCTTGAACAGTTTGAAAATCAGATAGCACCAGGAATGATTGTTTGGTTTTGTTGTGTACAAAATTACTACTGTAATACGTATTATTATTAGTTATTTTCCATCGATCGATTCTCATTTTTATCATAAACAATGATAATAAAACCCTAAATGACAAAATATAAAGAAAGAACCAGTCACCTGTGATATCTTTATTGTCTTTGATTATGTCTATGTGTACAAAAAGCATGCAAAAAATAGTATCTTTATATGGTTTGGTACATATTTACATAGTAAGAGTTGCATTCAGTGCTTTCTCGGGCCATGCTCTTTTTTTGTCTATTTTCTTTGATTTTTGTAACAGGTACATTCAGATCAATGCAGCAGAATACAGACGTCTATAAATAACCAGCAATATCAGGCACTCTGACACGAATAACTGCGCAGTTCAAACTGCTGGTATGTGAGCGAGACAGTGTTCTATGATCTATATACATGAATCAATTCTGATATACTTTTGAATCAACATTTGTAAGAAATGAAAAAGCATAAAGCTTTGATAGCAAGAACGTTTCGCAGCAACAAAGTGCATCAAAATGGCCACTTTTCTCTCACTTCCTCCAGAGACTCATGTCAAACAGCAGAAAACTTTATAAATGCGGGTAGACAAATGATCAAACCTCATCTATTGCACATGCGCTGAAACCCGGAAAATAAAATAAAGCCATCACACTCGAGTTGATTGCTCAGACAGAGTATGGCATTTTGCTGCATATGTTTAGCTTATACAAAAGTCCCGAAGGAAACAATTTAAAGGGGTTTTAGACATTATTTGTTTTGTCTCATAGATATCAAAAGGAACAGGGAACCTAGAGAGAGGTTTGTAAAGGTTATAGCAAGGTTAAGGGACATGCCGTACGTCAAGACACTAACAGGTGCATAGCATAAATCAAGAAGTAACAGACAAGACAACTGCACATTTAAGACAGAATGGACAAATGTGACTGCACATATAAGAGAAGGGGGGTCATTTAAAAACATTCAATGGATTTATACACATACAATAAACACACCTTAGAGCTCCTGAACACAGAATATGCTACTCCATTCTCTCTGTATTTCCAGAACAGCAGTGTCCAGACCCTGAGTACCACATACAGAATCCTAACACACAACAGAAACGAGACTCCATTTAATGCCTAAATCAAATACTCTATACAAACAGACTAAAAAAAAAAAGACTAGTCGTTTGGCACTGAAAATGTTTTTTTTCCTGTGAAATTCAGTTTAAAGAGAAAATGGTATGGGCAAGAACCAATCTAGAAGGAGTTTGTGCATAAGAGAGGGTCAGAGAGAGATGGGGGAAGACAGAGAACAGGGGAAGAATGTGTAGGAGTGAAAAATGGACCACCATCTGCACAGGATATCAGTGAGAATATAATGAAAGCGCTTCACTGCAGTTTATCAATCCGTCTTCATAAGCAATAATGAGTCATCTAAATGACTGACATCGGTTAAAGGTTTCCTCTAACCACTTGCTGCTTACTAGAAATAATTGGCAGCTGACCTAATTGAGTCTTGTTTTATTGTCTTGAAATGAATTCACCTCAAAATAATCCAAGCTACTCTTTTCAGATGCGTTTACATGGGCCCTAATAATCTGTTTGTAATCTGACTAGTAGCACAGTCCGAATAAAAAAAAGTCACATGTAACCACGTCCATTGGAATGAATTGGCCAACTTTGATTGAAATTTCATTCGGATTGTAAGGGGTGGTTTAAACCTTTTCTGATCTGTTCGACAGGACAATTTGATTGGATTGAAAAACTAAACTGGAAAGTCCTACACATAGGCATGACGTATGACGCACGGAACGAGCTGTTGTTTTTGTTGAATATTGTGACATAAATGACTGTCGTGACAATCGAAAAATTTTCCTTCCACTCATTAGCTGGGTTTCCATCCAAACGTGAAGCGAATCTTTTCAAAGTTTGCAAAAAAAACTTTTTCGAATGTGGGAAGGGGCATTTTTACTGCTTGATATATATAAACAGCATGGCACAAAGCTTCATGTGCTCTTCGTCTCTTAAAGCTGCAGTCCGCAGTTTTTCCTCTTTGTCGCCATCTCTGTTTGAAATCTGCAATTGCAGTTATTCGCGGAATTATCAACTTTACGTGAGTTGTACTTCGACATGGCACAGCGCGGATGAACACAATGGTTGAGAAGAGTGTGAGGCTGTCAGTCGACGCGCCGGTGTGGACACTGTCATTCAGAATCACAGATTATTCTTTTTGGAAGTATGACCAACATAATAATTTTCACCGGAAAATGTCATCTGAACAAGTAAGTAACATCCACTTTTGTTCTGGTTCTGACATTGCAGTAAATCGCGCTGATTAAATCTAAAAATCGCTTATCATATCACGCAAAACCGTGCAAATTATACTTTGTTCTCAAATTGTTAATGCTAACAACATCAGCATTGCGTGACTACATGTACTGTACTTCCGATATGTATCCTAATTGTTTTCGCATGGGTCCGGTTGCAGTCTCTTTTTTTCTGTAGCCACTCCGAAGTCTGAACGAAGTCTTTTGCATTTTATAACAGGTATAATCTCAGTAATTTGTGCAGTGTGCGCATGTTAAAATGATCAAATCGGATTTTAAGCTTGTGACATAAACGCGCACATCAACCCGATCACTTATTTAGTGTTCATATTTAACACTATATTCAAATTCATCAATTGGAATTATTTAATTAGCAGATGGACCGTTGATAATAAATAGCATAAGTAAATTTAAAAGCATGAATTTGCCATTTTCATTTAGCCGGACTGCAACATTTTTTTTTAACACATTGGTCTGAACAGACAAATTGCATGTGAATATTGGACAGAATTTTGTGCCGAACATTCGTATTGGTATGAACCCTATTTTTTTTTTTACAGTCTATGGTATGAACAGACCTTTGGTAAATGGTAACAGTATTACATTTTTGTGTGAACTGTCCTTTTAAAACAAACACTCAGTGGGGATTTCACAATAAAAATATAATTAATATGAGTGATCTGTGCTCATAATTAAATATCTTGATCGCCAATGCGTATTTACAATGGTTGTCCACTCAGATTCTCTTTGTACTTTCAATACATGGTTCAAAAACAGGGGCTGATGGGTTCGCCTGGCAGACGATCCGATGTAAACAAGGGAGTATTGTTTTGGACTGAGTTAATACAGGCCAAGAGGGACCGTGATGACATTGAATGGCGGTTCACTTTCATTCCACAGCTAAACACCATATTCAGATCCTTCCCTCAATTGGCTTGTCTGTTTTGAGTGAAAGTGACTCCTTCTCCTTCCGCATTAGCACACACTTGCTTGCCTTGGTGACATATTTGCATGTGCGTTCGAGCGCCCGTTAGCACTGCTGACTGATAAATAGGCCTTTTGGAATGTGAAGACTTGGTAAACAATGACACATTCTGTTCCTGTAGAGACAAAGCGCTGCGACATGAGAGCCCTGCATCCGGTATGCTCCAAATGTGGGATTTCTGACATTCACAAACATGGAGAAAAAGCCCTGTTCTAGTTAATGCTTATACCAAAAGCAGTATATTTCGTGAGAAAGCCCTGTTCGTTAGAATTGACTGAATGTGCAGTCATTTATACATCAAGAGCTCTTTTAGTGTCTAGTAGTTACATAAGCCCCTTTGATTCACACTACAACACTGTGTGTGTGTGTCTGTTTATAGATTGTATCTGAATGAAATGAGAACATTTTGATAGTATGAAAGAAATGGAAAGCAACAGAGATATGGAAAAGGCCATATTTCAGGCATGCAATGACGCGGATAGGGTTAAGAATTGCACATTAACGTTATACAAAAAGGCAAGACACCATAGCTAATATTTTATACACATGTACAAACGTTATGATGGCAGCACACTGCCTCAACGCCATCACTGTTTTTTAGCTTCATGAGGTGCCGTACCAAGTAAATATTAGCATCTTTTGTAAATGTTGTAGTCTTGCTTTAAGAAAGGTAATGACATAGTCTGGTTTTCAAACAAACCTGGCCCAGACTTCATCCAAAATCTTCTCGTTTAGCCAGGATAAGAGAACAAAGATGAAAAGATCCAAACTGCATGAAGGAGAAAGTATGGTTTTTCGCCGGATTACCAAGGCCAGGTTTTCTGAGAACCATTACTACGGTGGACTTAAAAAAAAAAGCAAGGAAAGTGATTCTTGTGCAAGACTGAAAAAAGTGAAAAAGCCTGAATGATGACAAGCAATAGCAGAATCCAGTTCAATGTCGAGGTGAGCCTCAAGTTGGTGGAAATGGAGTGTAGTGTAGCGGTTTGGGTCATGATGGTCATCTGCTCGAAGGGTTGGAAGTGTCTGAATGAAGAAGCGCAGACAATGAGGAACGCTTCAGGATCTATGGAGACACTCAAAAGGTGGGTGGTTCGTCCTCATGCAAGTCCTCGAGCTCGACTTCTCTACCAGCCTCTCCACTGCTCCCCTTTCTGAGAGAAAAAGAAAAACACAGAGAGAAATGAATCATTATCTTTCTAAATAATCCATGTTTTGATCCAGTAGTTGATTTCGAAAAGGCAGACTTTTGACTATCTGTAGTCTATAAGGTCTGGTCTACTATACAGATTATTCAGGCCAAGAATCATCCACGTAACCACAGATGCTTTGAAGATAACAAAATTACATACTTTTGAATTCAAAGAATACTGAAAAAAATGTTTTTCAAAAATATTAAAGCAGCACAACTGTTTTCAACATTGATAATGATTATAAGAAATATGTTTCTTGAGGACCAAATCATCATATTAGAATGATTTCTAAAGGATCATGTGACACTGAAGACTTGAGCAATTCAGCTTTGACATTACAGGATATATATATATCCTATATATATATATATATATATATATATATATATATAAATAAAAGGAAACAGTTATTTTAAAAGATTTGTCTGATCAGAGCAGAACTGCCGGCTGTTGCCAAATTTATTTAGCAAATATTTTTTTAATGAAGCACATTTAAGAACATTACTGTATCACTATATGATTGTGAAGCACATTGCTGTCGCTTTATAAGATAAAACAAAAAATCTGCAACATGCATTAAACAGGTGTGATGCATCTGTAGATCGTCTGTGGTTGAAACTATCCGGTATTAAACACTGAAAAATAGAAAACTAGCACACTGACAAACAATCTTGGAGGAAACACAGATGAACATGGGAAAGTTCTCTGCAACAGACACAACTGCACACAGAGGTCTCAGAATGTATATGGTGGGATTGAATGAAAGACCACAACATGACATGTTTCACAGGCTTGGACTTTTTTGACAGTGTTACCAAATACTTTCACTGCCATAAAGCTAGAGAAATGCCACACAAGGACAGGGTGGAGGCTGATATGACTCTTTCACTGACCCGTGGGACTACATGGAGAAGGACAGGGAATCTGACACAGGGCTTGAGTGACAAATGACAATGACCACCTGTCACAATGAGTTACCTTAACGAGGGCTGGAGTTTAAAAGAGGGCCGGAATGGCCAAGAGTCCCTGCAGCAGAGAGAGAGAGAGAGAGAGAGAGTGGAGGAAAGGGAGGAGAGCATCAGCAGTTTCATGTGAAGTAAAGCAACAGGAACCAGGTCATTATAGAGCCTACTGTGAGTTTTTGCTGGTCAGAATGCCAATTACATTAACAGTCGACATAAGACTATATTTAAAGGCACAATATGTAGGTTTTTTCGACACAAGAGGGCGCAGTTTCCAACAATAGCAAAGGCGTAGGTTAATGACGCAGTGATGAGCTGAATGATGGGACTTGCTGTCAAGTTGATGGATCTAATAATGTTTATGGATGAGTGCAAACATTCATGTTTTTTAAGATTACAGTGGTATGAAGCAGGTCGCGATTGCTAAAGAGACAGATATCACACGCGAGTCCCGCGAATATAAAGGAATAAGGACATTTAATTCTACCGAACTACCCGCAAGTGCACTCACAGGTCAAGTTTATTAGACAAATCAAACTTGTGAGGTAACGCAGCGCTGTTTCACTTGGTCTAACGTTACACTATCACACTAAACGGCATTTAAATGTGTGTTGAAAGTTATAATGTTATACTACGTGTTATTTCGTTTGTTATACGAAACTAGCAGTAAGCTAGATCAACATTAGAATAACATACTGACCATATTCTAACATTTCATCATGTTGAGCTAACGTTATATAACATTGATTTGTTTTTTGTACATTTTCTCACCTGTCTAATAAAGCTGTCAAGTCGTGACTCGTGAAGCTCTGTCGAGTCCAAGTTAATAGTCGCGGACGTGGAGCTCTCGGCATCTCAAAAACGCCACGCTGATATTGATCCTCATTTTAGTTCTCCTTGTTTGTCCCAAAGTCTGCTTGCCATGGTCTATGTTTGAAAGAAACAAGAACTGCGTGACGCTAAAAGTTATGCACTACGCAGTTGTCCACGTCTGTCGCCATGGTTACGTCATGGCTATGGCAGTATGAACGGAAACCGAGGATAACGCGGATATTGCGTCATTGACAGGCGACATTTTTTTCCGGGACGGCCACTTATTTAGAATTGGAATTTCTCTGAAATAAAAAATCATTGGAGACTTTTGGGATATTGTAAGTACACAACTGCAGGAAATATATCACACTGTGCAAGTGATTTTTGGATATTTTATTAAAAAATTCTTACATATTGTACCTTTAAGTCGAGTTCTGCAATAAAAGTCAATTTATGGAAATAGCATTAGCATCAACTACTAAAGAGAGATGCATGTGCCAGATGCTTATAAAAAACTCATCAAATGCCAAGCAAATTTGTTCAGAAGAGACAGCATTTAACCCCTGTATTTGACAAACACCAACAGGAAATATTATCAACAAACTCCAGTCTGTGCTTCATGAGCATATGAATACGTTACCCACACTCAACCTGCGCTCTGTGGCTAAAAAATGAGAGTGATTTTTAATGGTGCTGGAGGCCAGAAAAAAAGTCCTGATATGTAATAATGTGCAGCCACATTTTCATCACATCCAACAAATGTGTAGTGATACGGCAATTTGTTTCCCCATGCTCCCAGACAGGGTTGGTTCAGTGATGTGTAATTGTGTATAGCGTGTCCTAACAAGGCCTGAAGCGACAACTTTTACACAGAAAGAAAAACGTGGCACGATGCAACAAAATGACAACCAATTAAAACATACACTCACCGGCCACTTTATTAGGTACACCTGTCCAACTGCTCGTTAACACTTAATTTCTAAGCAGCCAATCACATGGCGGCAACTCAGTGCATTTAGGCATGTAGACATGGTCAAGACAATCTCCTGCAGTTCAAACCAAGCATCAGTATGGGGAAGAAAGTTGATTTGAGTGACTTTGAACGTGGCATGATTGTTGGTGCCAGAAGGGCTGGTCTGAGTATTTCAGAAACTGCTAATCTACTGGGATTTTCACGCACAACCATCTCTAGGGTTTACAGAGAATGGTCCGAAAAAGAAAAAACATCCAGTGAGCGGCAGTTCTGTGGGCGGAAATGCCTTGTTGATGCCAGAGGTCAGAGGAGAATGGCCAGACTGGTTCGAGCTGATAGAAGGGCAACAGTGACTGAAATAACCACTTGTTACAACCGAGGTATGCAGCAAAGCATTTGTGAAGCCACAACACGCACAACCTTGAGGCGGATGGGCTACAACAGCAGAAGACTCCACCGGGTACCACTCATCTCCACTACAAATAGGAAAAAGAGGCTACAATTTGCAAGAGCTCACCAAAATTGAACAGTTGAAGACTGGAAAAATGTTGCCTGGTCTGATGAGTCTCGATTTCTGTTGAGACATTCAGATGTTAGAGTCAGAATTTGGCGTAAACAGAATGAGAACATGGAACCATCATGCCTTGTTACCACTGTGCAGGCTGGTGGTGGTGGTGTAATGGTGTGGGGGATGTTTTCCTGGCACACTTTAGGCCCCTTAGTGCCAATTGGGCATCGTTTAAATGCCACGGCCTACCTGAGCATTGTTTCTGACCATGTCCATCCCTTTATGGCCACCATGTACCCATCCTCTGATGGCTACTTCCACCATGTCACAAAGCTCTAATCATTTCAAATTGGTTTCTTGAACATGACAATGAGTTCACTGTACTAAAATGGCCTCCACAGTCACCAGATCTCAACCCAATAGAGCATCTTTGGGATGTGGTGGAACGGGAGATTCGCATCATGGATGTGCAGCCGACAAATCTGCGGCAACTGTGTGATGCCATCATGTCAATATGGACCAAACTCCCTGAGGAATGCTTCCAGCACCTTGTTGAATCTATGCCACGAAGAATTGAGGCAGTTCTGAAGGCAAAAGGGGGTCCAACCCGTTACTAGCATGGGGTACCTAATAAAGTGGCCGGTGAGTGTATTTTGTTTAATATACAGCTGTGGAGTAGAGGAGCGGTGCTATCCAGCACAAACAGAGAACAATAGGCTGATACAAATAAGCCTATAATTATTCTGATGTTAACGATAATCGGAAGATACTTAAATTGTATACTATTTTGAATTGTGTGCGTTTGTATATATGTATGAATATATATACACACACACACACACACTATATTTGTTATTGTTATATTTATTTTCACTACATTATAATTAAAAGCATGTAAATATGGATTTTGAGATTTGTTAAAGATTACATTTAAAAATGTTATTTAAGTGAGCACTAGATACCAGAAAAATAGGTAGACATGAGCAGGGACAATGAAATGTTGTGTATTAGATGATGCCGATATGGTGGCTGTACTAAATTATAATGTGGCTGTGCTAAAACAGGTTTTTAAAGTGTCAATGTTCTGTGACAAAATGAATATTTAAGAGAGATGTAGAAAATAATCCACTCATAAATAATGCAATCATCATGAGTATCACAAGAAATGACTTGCTGCCATCACAGAGTAACAATTGCAGTCGAGCGAGTATGCATGAATGCTTGAGAAAGGGAGGGAGAGTGTGTGTTCAGTACAGTGTGTGTTTAGATGAAAAAGGTTATTAACGGTGCGGGAGGTAGTGTATTCAACCTGACACTGAATTATGGATGACATGCAAATTGCCACCCCTGACAGTAGGAGATTTAAAGGGACGGAGGGATTTTCAAAATTACGATGATAGCTTTCTACCAACCGGGGGCGCTGCTGCTTTTTATCTATTTATTCAGAAACGCTTTTCCTCAGAGGGAACAACTAACTGACAAATGGCTAATAAAAAAAAATGATAGAGGTAAATGAAAATACAATCAACTGCCTCTTGCAAAAGAAGTCACCGGTCTGCTGAGTCACTGTATTGATCCACCTCATTTCCCAATCAGATTGCATCCTTGTCAACAGAGAGAATTCACACCAAACAAGCATGTCATTTGTTTACAGATAATCAAATGACCTTTCAGTTTTGATTGTACGAACAATAACTGCATATGGCACATCTGAAAATTAAAAACATAAATACAACCTATAACAGAGATCATTCAGTAGTGCATTAAAATGTTTGCAAGGCTGACTTTGGTCTATCAGGGATGCATACAGAGATAACCAGATTGTTTGTATTGATCCAGGGCATTCAGAAGAGAGGGAGCAACCCTCTGCTGATTCTGATAGACAGCACACAGAGAGGAAGAGTGAGAGAACACGCTGCTGTCCTTGAACAAACCCCCTCTAATGTGGGAAAAGCAGCAGAGTGGGGACAGAGATGACTTCATGGAGACACTTACTGTCAGTCTAGTGGGCAGATACATTACCAGCAAAAGGCCTCTGAGAATTACTGTCAAAGGATGGATGGTGCAAACATCCAGAGGAATAAAAAAAACCCCGGAATTATTGTTGTGACCTTTTAAAGGGGTCATATAATGCCATTTTTGTACAAGCTAATGTGATTCTTTAGGGTCTAAATTAAAAATTTGTAATATACTTTAATTAAAAATTCTCATTAGTATTGTAAGAAAACACTTATTTTACCTGGTCAAAAACAGCTCTGTTTTCAGCACGCTGTTTCAGTGCATATGACTTTAAATGATAATGAGCTTCGCTCACCCCGCCTCTCTGTTCTGCGCATACACCGTTTGTAACACAATAACCATAACGCGTTGTTCAGTATAAACGTGGGATTATGAATTATATTGAGAACGTCGTACATAGAAAACATGCCGTAATGTACCCTGAGTGTAAACCTTAGACGCATTCATTGTGAAGCGTGCAGCTAGCGATTTGCAAAGATTAATATAAATATTAATATAAAGATTAATAAAACGTTACACTCACTTCAGTTCTTCTGGAGGTTCAGCAGGAACACAAATAGTTGGTACCGATAATTTATTCAGGAGCAGCTTCTTAGCAAAACCAGTTTTATACTGACCCTCGTTTATAAAGCAGTCTGGTGAGAAATGATTCGCGCAAACATGAGAGCATTGACGTTGCTCGTGGGGAATATTCCCTTCGAAAACAAACTCAGCCACTGCGTCTTCAGCGGTTCGGAATTTAGGAACATTAAAATGACTGCTGTGTTCGTTATTACACCCAAGAACAGAACACCACAATCGCTTAGACGCCATTCTGCTCATAGACAGTGCTCCAGCATATCAACAATGACCGCGCCGGTCCGCGCAGACTATGATTGACAGCTCCCTCATGAGCGAGGGCGGGTCTGTGTTGAAACGCTGCTGTCAATCAACAATCGTGGGAAGGGCTTCCGACCCTGTGACGTCACACGGTCGAACGGCTCGATTTGAGGCAGGGGAAAACATATAAGGAGATTAAAAAACAAACAATGGATAGATTTTTATCATTTTATGATGGTTGTGTACAGGCACTGCCAACACACATTTCAGTACAATCAACTTGTAAAAGTGCATGTATCATTATATGACCCCTTTAAGAACTTGTATATACCGTACTGCATATATATATAGATGCTAAATATGAAAAACTGAAATATACATTTAGAACTATATTGCAGACTTTTTTGTGTAAACAAAGCACTCGCGTTGCTTCATAAAATTGAGGTTAAACCACTGGAGTCACATGGATTACTTTAATGATGTCTTTCCTATCGTTCTGGACCTTGAATGTGTAAGTTGCGTTGCTCCCAATGGAGGGACAGAAAGCTCTCGGATTTCATCAAAAAGATCTTAATTTGTGTTCCGAAGATGAACAAAGGTCTTATGGGTTTGGAACGGCATGAGGGTGAGTAATTAATGACAAGATTTGCACAATTTTGGGGTGAACTGTCCCTTTAAGGCAATTCTATAAACGCATTCTATGCGTTTGTCGTGTACACTAAAGTCTGTAAATCATCATTAGAGCGCCACCCTCAGGCTGAATAAGGCAAGGACATTAGAATTCTGCAAAAAGTGTGTGTGATGCGTTTAGTCATTAGAATATAAAGCTTACAAAATGTTTAGCATAAACTAGCGCTAAGACCAAGAATCTGCCCTAATTTATGGCCAGGAGTTGCTATATATATATATATATATTGTAAAAATATTAATGAGGGAGTCAGCAGTCTCAGTGCAATGCAGAGAAGAAAGTTCCAGACAGAAATAGTAAAAACAAGTCCCAGAGCTTTGAATGTTACTGCAAGAGAAAAAACGTCTGAATCATGCTACTATGGAAACGTATGTTGGCGGCAGGAGAAGTAATGGGTGACTATTAGCACACCTTCCTGTTCAAATAGATAGACATGACGTCTGAAATATCATGCTGCGACCTTGAATGTGAGAGTGAAAAAAGCAAAGAATAAAAGAGATGCAATGCTGAAAAGAGTTCAACCTCTTACAAAAGGCTTGTGAGCAAAAGGAGAGTCATTTGTATTTGTGAAGCTATATTACTCTGGTTTCCAGTTGGTCATCGGTTGGAACACTTACATGAGAAGACTGCTGGGAGCAGACATGGATCTCTCTTCTCTCCTGCTGGGACACTCAAATGGATTCCCAAAGGAACGCTTCCTTAACATGGCTTTCACCAATATCTACAGCATCACAGGAAAGAGGGGACAACTAGACTTAACTTACTGTACATATTAAAAGAATACAGATCAGGGCATGCAGAAATCCAACATTTACAAATACAAAATAGAGAAAAAAGAACAGGGGGCAGCTAAAAATACACTTTGCATTACTGAAATGATGATGATGATGATGATGGCAAGAAGGACTAATTCCAGGAAAGTAATCAAGGAAAAGCAGACAGTTCAGAAGCAGGGTCAGTTTGACATGTGATGAGGTTTCAGTTGTTTGGTTGGTGTGTTCATGTAACTACAGTTCAGCAACTCATGAACCCTTACACATAGAAACCCTTGTTCTTTCTTGGTTTCACTTACCACAGCAGACAGACTGGGGACAAACTTCACCGAGTTCTGCACCTCCTCTTCAGTGACTTCTACCGCAGTACAGTGCTCCTCTTCTAAAGGCAATGGGTCTGTACCATCCTGAGTCACCCAGGGGTCCACCTGAAAATACACACACACACACACACACGTGTATAACATGCTGTGTACACGTCATTCCGTCCATCCATCTGGCCATTTAACCTATCGTTTCATATATTCATCCGTCTACCCATCCATCCATCCATCATCTTTCCTTCATTCCATCCATCCATCCATCCATCACGGCAATCTCTATATATCCATCCATATACCCATAGATCAGACCATACATTTTCTTCTATACATCCATCCATACAGTTTCATACATTTAGCCATCTTCTATCCATCAATTCATCCACCCGACTGTCCATCCATCTAATATTCTATCTATCCATCCATCCTTCAATGCAACCATCCATCCATTCATCATTTATCCTTCCATTCATCCATCCATCCATGTCTGTAGATCAGTCCATACATCCATACATTCGCCCATCCATCCAGCCATCATAGACCCATCTATTCATCAATCCATCAGTATGTCCATCCATCCATTATTCCATCCATCTAATATTCTATCCATCCATCCTTTAATGCAACCATCCATCATTTATCCTTCCATTCATCCATCCATCCTTGTTTGTAGATCAGTCCATACATCCATCCAGCCGTCATGTATCCATCTATTCATCAATCCATCGGTCTGTCCATCCATTCATCCCATCATCAATCCATCGGTCTGTCCATCCATTCATCCATGTATCCATCTATGTCTGTAGATCAGTGCATCCATCCATTCGTCCATCCATCCAGCTGTCATATATCCATCCATCCATCCCTCTATAGAGTTTCATCCATCAAGCCATCATCTATAGTTTCATCCATCCATCCATCCATCCATCCCTTGGTCCATCTATCTAACCTTCTATCCTCCATTTCATTTATCTGTTCATCCATCAATCCTTTCATCCATCTATCCATCCATCTAACCATTCATCCAATCAGAAAATTATTAAAGAAATACAATATTTGTCCTAATAACAAAGTTAGTCTGAAGGGTATGAGAGTAGAGCTGTTGAGTGAATGTAGGCCGAGTGTGCTCTGGGGATCGCTGCTTTAATGGAACATTTTTTGGGTAATGACATGCAGGCAGGAGTCTCTAATGGCCGAGTGTGTGTGTGTGCTAATTATTCACACTCACTGTCACACACTGAGACAGCAGATGGAAGTTTCCAGAACTGAACCAAAATCCTTCTCCATAGGGATTAGCTGATATGTTTCTGTCCAAACAGCAAGTCTGCTAGATGGTGCAGAAGCTATCAGAGATATTGTGTCATATTTACAGTATCCCTGTATGTGGCTCAGGAATGGTCTTTGATAGAAACACTGGAGCTATTGTGAGTGAAGACTAATGATACATTTCTTTTTGAGAAACTGACTATAATTTCAATATTAAGTGAGGTCGCACTCTCTCGCCGATATGCAGGAAGGAAAATTGAGGCGATTTCTGAAGGGTAGCATTGATTAATAATACTAGCCCAGCCAAAAAGGTAAAATATGCACATTCATTTCAGTGTAAATAGATGCACTCCTCAAGTGAATAGTAACTCAATATCTTGCAATACAGAGTGGTGAAGATGAAGGTGGAAGGTTCTACACTTTCAATCTAAGAAGTGCTCCGTCCTTTCCATCATATGTGTACTTACTTTGATCTCAGGAACAGTGATTCTGGCGTCTGGGTTTTTGTCCAGCATTCGTGTGACCAGGTCCTTCAGCCCTTCGCTGATAGCTGGCCTGAGATATTACAGAAACACAGAGAAAACAGCTGAAAACACAAACCCAATAAACCTGATGGTACTGCTAGACAATGACAGTATGCTTTTACAAGAGGAGACACACACTGCAGACAGAAGAAACACTGCTTCAAACCCCCACTGATCATAAGGGCTAAAGAGCTCAACTGTACTAAACACAAAAGAAGCTCTGCAAACATGAAAACAACAACAACATGTACTCAGCCAAAAAAGACATTTCCTCTCACTTTTACTGCTTTTTTCAGCAAATTTCTTATTATGTGTTAATATCAACATTAACACATAATAAGGGGGGGGGGGGGGGGGGGGTACTTTTAAATTAGGTTGAATCTCTCAAATTATTTTTCCTCATTCCCTTAATTTTTGGCTTGTTGTAAGCATAGAATAAAAATGTAAAATTAATTTTTTTAAAATTGGTTTACGCATAGAAAAAGGAACCCAAAAAGTGAGTGAAGCCCCTTGTCATGTACACTGTTTTTGATTCACAGTGATGACATTGTGATATTTTGTAGATAGTTTAGCCAGTGAGAACACTGCAGCATGACATCAGGGACAGTGTGTGTGAGAGAGATGCGTTTTTATTTGCTGATGATTAGTCCAAACACATGCACCAGATGACATGCATCCGGATGGCCTCTGGCCTTCCACACACAGACGACAGACTTCATCAACATATCATAGACCTGCACGAGCATACACAAATATCTTACATAAACCAACACGCCTCAAAATAGCATTCATTTCACATCGTCATACACATCTGACATTTCCTCTCTCTGTTTCTGTGGGACGACAGATGCGTCACACACAGCGAGGGGCGACTTACGTCTCGGGGAACTCCACCGGCTTACACTTGATCTTATTGTGAAGTGCCAGAATGTACTCATCAATAAATGGGCACTGGAGGACAGGGAAGAAAAATAGAGGAGAGGGGGAGGAGGTTAGACAGATGAATGATCAAAATCATCAATCACACAAATGTCACTGCAGTAGCACACTGGCCCGTCCATTGATCTTACTGATAGATAATTCCACAGTGAAGAATTACTGCTATCATTCTGATCATATCAGTATATGAGCCGACTCACCTTCCCATACACGAAACAGTAGAGAGTCACTCCCATAGCCCACACATCCAGAGCCTGAACAAGACACAACTTCTGTTATATTGATGCAGGAGCTATTGAGATAAATGTAATTTCTTGAAGGGAGAGTTCATTCAAAATTTAAATTCTGTTGTCATTTATTTACTATCATGTTGTGCCAAAGCTCTATGACTTTCTTCCAAGGAATGCAAAACAAAATATCTTATAGAATGGACTAATGTGTACTTAATAAGGGTCAGTTCGATTTTTTTTTAAAGAAAACAAAGTCATTTTATTGCTCAAAGATGCAGTAAATTTATCAAAAGTGACAGTAAAGACATTTCTAAAGTTACAAAAAAATCTATTTCAAATAATTTCTGTTCTTCTGAACTTTCTATTCATCAAAACATCCCAAAAAAATGGTTTCTACAAAAATATTAAGAGGCATACTGTTTTCAACGTGGATGCTAATAAAAAATGTTTCTTAGCATTAAATCATCATATTAAAATGACTTCTAAAATATCATGTGATACTGAAGGTAGGAGTAATGATGCGAAATACTGTATATATATAAAAAAAAAAAATTAAGAAACTTTTTAAAAATATATATGTTGAACAGTAGCGTAGCTCTTTGACACATTTATGGGAGAATTAGCGATGTCCCATTAATTAAAAATTTAGCCTAATTTTTCAATGATATAGTTCACAAAACCAGTCAGATTGGCCTATCACAACACATACCAGCAAAATCACCACAGACACGCATTACCTTTCCACTAAAGCTCTGGCGGTTGTCTGACAGTGTCTCTGGGGCCATGAATGCAGGAGTACCAGCAGTGCTGGAGAGACAGGCATCGTTACCCTCGAACTGGTTACTGACCCCAAAATCGGCGATTTTGACATGGCCGTCATCTCCAAGTAATAAATTAGATGGTTTGATATCCCTGTGAACGATCTTCTGAAAGTGCACTGAGCATAAAGAGAAAGAATATCAGAGAAGGAATATGATATTTCGAGTAGGCTATATCATCTAAAAGAATAACAAGAAAAAGGAGTCATTCCAAAAGTTCAATTTATTGATGATTAGCTTCAAATCTCAGAATTCTATTAGACTTCACAAAACAAATATAACTCATTGGTCTTCAAAACTAAGAAATAATATAGTAACTATAGTACTATATAGTAATATAGTAAATACTTGATTTTTTAAATAAAAATATGATTATTATTATTACTAGAGATGGGTGACACCACATGCTATCAAGGTCAATATCACTAAAACCGATAATTAAAATGTAAAGTTATGAGGATCAAATTATTTTATTATATTTAAGTCATATTTTTTTTATTTTTATTTTTTACATTTTATAGTCCTGCAAATGATCATAAAACAAAAACACTTTACATATTATTATTATTATATTATGTGAGGATCAATCTTCTCAATGCAACATCAAAAAGTATTTAATATTCTAGACTACCGTAATCCATCCATGCCTAATTGTGATCAGAAAAATAATTAAACATTAACATGCCATGTAATACTAATCCATACTTCTACTGTACAAGTTACATAATTGTGACCAAAACGTCAGTTTTTATAACTCGAAACAAGTTTAATAAAGCTACTAGGTTGAGCAAAGTAAGTAAAGAGGAGGTACAACATCAAGTGTGTCTGACCGCAGGAGGTCTCAGCTTAACTAAAGAACAGCAGAAAGGATCAAGAAGGTCACCCTGTGCACACAGAAGCTGAATTTGATTGGTTAAGAGTCGCCTCCTTGTCTCAAGTGGTCAATCAAAGATAACCTCCCCACCACTTATCATCTTTCAGTCATGTGTCATTACTGGTTATACGCGACAACAAGAGCCATGTCTAAGATGTCTTCAGATGACAAGCATGGTAATGAAAAAAGAAAATACATTAAGGAACAAAGAGATGTGTTCAAAGCATTAGCATGTTATTGCATATAATTATTTGATCAAAGTCAGCAAAGCAAGGGGAATGTAGCTTATGTAAACTGTCTCTCAAGCAGTTTACATATCATAAAACCCCCACACACAGATTTTTTAGATAACTATTAATTCATTATATTGACATGGGATAGTGCTAATGAAATAAACAAGATATGGACACATACTCTGATTGCAGTCCACAAATTAAAGACACACAAAAGGAGTTCATTGTGAACACAGACTGATTTGTAGCGAATCATGCAAATGGTCTGTTGCCATCCAGACGGTTGCCACAGCGAGTGTTGCCTGTTTAGTAGGATTCAAATGAATTGATGAAAGCCGAGTTTCCACTCGAGCAGAACAGACACTTGGCAATCTACTCCGCTTAGCTCATTCTCCTTTTTTGTGCTGCCATCTTATTTAAAGGCTCAATACAATTTAAGCTCAATCAACATATACTGTTGTACATATACTGTTCTTCTTTTGACATATGACAGATCAGAACGGCCTTAAGAAATAGCAGAGACTTGTTTTAATCAGGAAACGATGACCTCCCCCACACACACATACACGAGCGCACTGCCACATTCGCTCACTTCATTAGCCTAACAGGATGCCATGATGAGTTAGAACAACAAACATAGAGATGTTCCTTGGGACAGAGCTCTCTTGGGTCTTTATTTTTACACAAGTAATGATTAATGTCAGCCGCTCATCTTTAGGAGTTTGCTTCGCTCTTCTATCCTGGGATTTATTTAACTTCAGATGCTCTATTACTAAAACCATGTCAAGGTGGTCTCCTTAGAAACCGAGGATGGAAGACAGTGAGGTCGACCCAGCAATTTGAAAAAGGCTTTTAAAAAATAAAGGAAATGACTCACAGTACTCGATGCCCAGAACAATGTCTCTGAAGTAGTGGCGGGCCTGGTCCTCACTGAAGGGACTGTCGCTGGGAACCTCCATCACAGGGCTGGTGACCAATGGAGACACTTTATTGTAAGTTAACTGATAAGGTACAAATAAAATACAGTAACAGCGAGCAAAGATTCATGAAGAGAAATTGTGAATGAAATGATAGGTAGAGAAATAACCTCAAACATTTAGTCTAAGAGAGGTCACAAAATCATTTTGATACAATATAGTGTCTGAAACATCCCCTTGATGCCATTTCAGCATGAAACCAGTTTGATTAATAACAAATATTTTGATGTAGTTCAGATTTTTTACTTACCTTGCAAAAATGCTCACTGACCCAACCACAAAAAAATATGATCGATTTTATTTTTAGCAATCTATTTTTATATGCAGCAGAAAAAAATATTCATTGTATAAAATATTTAATTTCAAATATTTCATAATAATTACAATTTCAATACAAATGTTCATTACAGTGTTCATACATATGTATATCTGCTATAATATATTATGGTGTTTTTAATAATATTATAACTTATTTTTGTTGTTTCAACAAAATCTCATCTACGTTAGTCAGCTAGACAACATAAACTTGACCTATTTAAATCAGCAGAATTCGAAACAACAGTACAGTACATCACAGAATGGCAAATGTTTTTCTGCCGCGTTCTATTTTTGCCAGCAGACTCTTATCTGTTCGCAATTTTTTTCAAACTGGTGATTAACCTTTCTCTATCAGTGTGACAGCTAACCTATGCCACTCCAACACCATACATACACACGTCAACATAGCCAGAGAAACTTTTCTGTATTTACAGATATAACAAGACACACACGGCGAGTGAGGCATGTATGCGATTTCCCATGAAAACCATCCCGTCATATAATATAAACAATTATAACTGGCTTATAGTGAATCAGGGTAAACCAAAAACATGTTTTGGAAGAAGGATCGACGAGGTATTTACTCATTATTTAAATTTAGTTAATTTTGAACCAAAAAAAAAAGTTACATAGTGTAAGTTAGCAAGACATTATAACAAGGCCACACTGGGCAAGTAAGAGACATCAGTGAGAGAACAGAAGATGCTGTGAAACTACATGACTGTGAACACAGAGTGGATGGAATCCTTCAAAATGAACCGTGACTGTGAGATTTACATAAAAACCAATCACACAAACCACTTAGCACAAAACAGGGTCCTCAAAGGCCATTTCATTCATTACCCACAGGCAGTGAATCACGATTGATCAGAAAGGCCAAATTATTCAGCCAGGTCTAGTGAAAATAGACCATTCTGTAATTATGCAAAGTAAGTTTTAATCTGCTCTTTTCAAGGCATAAGCCCACAAACACCAGGGATACTGAACAACACATTTCTCTCCAAAACAAAGCCAGGCCACTTGGCAGAAACTCATATTCAACCAAAGTAAAATGTCACATTTGGAAAAAAATAAGAAACAAAAAAAAGGTCTTATAATAAACTGGAAGACTGCTACCCTTTAAATGAGCTTTTTGTGGATTTAGAAACGCAGAGAAAGCAACAGAATAAATAAACACTACAAGTAACAAAAGTAATACAAAAAAGATTAACAATAATAATAATTTGTTACATTTATATAGCGCTTTTTCTGGGACCTCAAACCGCTTCACATATGGAAGGGGGAATCTCCTTAACTACCACCAATGTGCAGCATCCACCTGGATAATGCGACGGCAGCCATATTGCGCCAGAACGCCCACCACACACCAGCTTATTGGTGGAGAGGAGACAGTGATGAAGCCAATCAGTATGGATTGATGGACAGAGGCCAAGGGGCAAATTTGGCCAGGATGCCGGGGTTACACCCCTACACTTTTTCGAAGGACTTTTAATGACCACAGAGAGTCAGGACCTTGGTTTAACGTCTCACCCGAAGAACGGTGCTCTTTGACAGTATAGTGTCCCCGTCATTTTACTGGGGCGTTAGGACCCACACAGGCCACAGGGTGAGCACCCCCTGCTGGCCTCTCTAACATCTCTTCCAGCAGCAAACTGGTTTTCTCAGGAGGTCTCCCATCAAGGTACTGACCAGGCTCAGCCCTGCTTAGCTTCAGTGGGCAACAGGGTGATATGGCTGCTGACAATGCAATTGTTTTAATATGTAGAGAGAAAAACAGTATATTCAATGACAAAAAACATAAGAACTGATCTAGAAAAAGACGCGAATAAGAGTCTGAGTGAGAAAGTGATAACATAAGCATTTAATTAATCCCTTTGGAACAAGGGAGGAAAAAAGGGAAAACTGAGTCAGATCTACTGTAAGTGATGACAGATATGCACGACAGAGCAGTTGACGGAGGAGGAATGGAGTGATTAATGGAAGGACAGAGGATGGAAGTTAATGTGGTGAAAGTGGACACACAGAATACTCACCCCTTCTGCATCAGCTCAAACACTGCGGAGAGATCAGAACAGGAGAAAGGGAGTCATTAAAGCAAAGTGAGAGTGAAAAGACATTCTGTTATTGACAAATCCATCAGTGCACTTTATGAAATGTAATGTTCACAGTCCTCATATAGCATGTCATAGCCTTATATGACCAGACTTTTTTCCGCATATAAGTATATGTGCTTTTATTCGCAGCATTGCTCAGTGGAAGTTTGTAGCAGTCCATCAGCACAAACAACTTATTTTCATTCTCACAGTATGAGTCAGAGCAGACAACTAAATGTGTCACACAGTCTTATGTATGAGACACTTATTCTGCAGAATCTCACGTCAGCCAATTAGGAAGACAGGCAGCACAGTTTGAACTATTTGAAACAGTCTACTTTTCATGAAAAAGTAAAGTTTATAATGGTAGACTTCAGGGGGTTCATACTGGCAAATATTTTACAGCGACAAAACGCCCAGAGTTCATTCATTTTCAATGAGAGTTGGTGATGTGAGACGATATGAGCGACATTGATGTGACAATGAGCAGTGAAGCTATGTGATGACTAGCAATGAGGGCAAACAGCTTAATACTACAACCAATGAACACACCTTGAAAAGAAAGAGTTAAGCATGCATTATGTGTAAATATGGGTTTCATTTTGATGATTGGAATACTAATACAATACCATTCACAAGTGTCGTTTTGTTATGATGTCTCTTATGCTCACTAAGGTAGCATTCATTGGACCAAAAATACAGTACAACAGTCATAGGGTGAAATATGATTCCAATTTAAAATGATTTCTATTTTAATATATTTGAAAATGTAATTTATGCCTGTGATGTCAAAGCTGAATTTTCAGCAGTCATTACTCCAGTCTTCAGCGTCACATGATCCTTCAGGATTTGGTGCACAAGAAACACTACTTATCAATGTTGAAAATAACTGTTGATTAATAGCTTTGTGGAAACCGCGATATATTTCCCCCCTCAGGATTCTTTGATGAATACAAATTTCAAAAGAACACCATTTATTTGAAATAGAAATCTTTTGTAATATTGTACATATTTATACTGTCACTTGATTAAAAGTATTAATTTCTTTAAAAAGAAATCTTACTGACCCCAAACATTTGAACTGTAGTGTAATTACTAATTACAATTGGTTTAATGGATGTTTTAGAATGACCATGCATAACTTTAATGAAATGACAACTGATCAAACATTAGCTACCGTAAAACACCATAATTTGCTGAATCTTTTACACAGAAGGGCCATTTTACCACTAGATTATATGTCAACAAAAAAGAACATACCCATGTGAAGGTTGTCCTCCGCTGGATCATCCAGCACCTGAAACAGAAATTTGATTAAAAACACCACTTGCTACATGCACTGTATGATTTCCAGCATTCTTGGGGTCTAGGAAACTCTGTGACATCCATTAGTAGGTTCAAAGCAAATTATGACTTTTTTTTCTTCATTGATTATGTTGGAAAAATCTGTGGAATTAAACGGCTCCAATGTGTTCAATGGAACAATACTGTTATGAATGGCTGAAGCTATTGTAGAACTTGTGTAGTAGTTTGTGAGTAACATTTTTCAGAAATCTGCTGAGTTTAGCAGGAACAGATTCAGTGAGAGTCTGCACATGAGGACACAGCATATAAGATTTCAACATCAAAAAAAATAAGGGCATCTACAGCTGCAAACATTACAGAGGAGCTTTGTGGGAAACATTCTCTTCAGCAATGTTTTAAAAGCTACACTATTACGCAGAGAAAAACATCAGACTGTCCAACACTACATATGAAAGACAACATTTTAGAAGAGCGTGTTTGATTATTGCCTCAGCTCGCTTGGCTATAAAGCTGTGTGTGCATAGCATAGCTGTGTACTATATGACGGAAAAGCATATGTCATTCTATGTCACTGCTTGGAAAAGTTCCCTGATACTGGAAAAGCTAGATGCAAAAGCTACACTTAATTTGAAAACAGCCAAGCTACTGGTACAGAGTCGCTACTTTTAGTTTTACTCCAGTGATGAGATTCGATAAGCATCAGGTGCACCTCAGCAGAGCTCCATTTCTGTATTCTATACTCTTAACTTAAAGGGTTAGTTCACCCAAAAATGAAAATTATGTCATTAATGACTCACCCTCATGTCGCCCCAAGCCCTTAAGACCTCCGTTCATCTTCGGAACACAGTTTAAGATATTTTAGATTTAGTCCGAGAGCTTTCTGTCCCTCCATTGAAAATGTATGTACGATATACTGTCCTTGTCCAGATAGGAAATAAAGACATCTTCAAAGTAGTCCATGTGACATCAGTGGGTTAGTTAGAATGTTTTGAAGCATCGAAAATACATTTTGGTCCAAAAATAACAAAAACTACGACTTTATTCAGCATTGTATTGTCTTCCGGTTCGGTTGTCAATCCGCGTTCAGTGACGCTGATGATGTAAGACGCTGCTGACGTGTATCTGGTGCGTCCGTGTATTCGGGTTCAAATAAATATGGCTGGGCAACAAAATGCAAGTCTTCCTCTGTGTCGAAATCCTTAGACATGTTTGCGAAGATTGTTTTGTTTACAGCGTGCGTCTCCCTCAGACGGTAAACGAAGCTCGGGTGCACTGATAACACATCAGCAGCGTCTTACGTCATCAGCATCACTGAACGCGGATTGACAACAGAACCGGAAGACAATACAATGCTGAATAAAGTCGTAGTTTTTGTTATTTTTGGACCAAAATGTATTCGAGGCTTCAAAACATTCTAACTAACCCACTGATGTCAGGGACAGAAAGCTCTCGGACTAAATCTAAAATATCTTAAACTGTGTTCCGAAGATGAACGGAGGTCTTACGGGCTTGGAATGACATGAGGGTGAGTCATTCATGACATAATTTTCATTTATGGGTGAACTAACCCTTTAAGACTGTACTTGGACCGGCAGTAGGAGGGGGAGGTGAGTGGAGTGTAGGTGGTTCCTCTGGTTCACTTTCTAAGATTCCTTTAAACAATTTTCATGCTCTGTTTCAATTTTCTCTCGCATGCACTCTCTCACCCCTCTTTTCTAATTTTGCTGACGTACGTGGGTGCTGCTGTGATTGAAGAGCACTCAGACGGAACCATAGGGGGAGAGAAGGAAAGGCGCTTTTCTCCTTCAGCATCCCTCCATTCTACCTTCCTGCGATCGATTGCACTCATCTCCACACCCTATTCTCAGGACATTACGGGCTGATTTTCATTGTGTTGCTATTATTTTGTCCCCTCTTTGGCACAAATTACATAATGGCACATGATTAGGTCGTCTGGGTATGTTATTGAGTAGTTGGTGCAGAAGTCCATTTCCTTCCAAATTTCATCTCTCTGTGTTTTTATTGTATTTCCCATTTTAACTTGAGGTTTACACCTGACTGCCAGAGACCCAGTGTCAAACAACATTTCTTCCAAGTGGTCGTCAAATAATTAATCATTAATCAAATCATTCATTGCTTTGGAAGGAAGGAAGGAGGAACAGAGAGCAGGAAGTTTGAAAGGAAGGAAGGAAAGATAGTTCAGAGGGATTCTTTGTTTGGTTGTTTTTCTGTTCATTCTTTGAGGAAGGAAGTTTGAAATGACGTTTGTTCAAAAGGAAATAACTTTGCTCAGAAAGAAAAGAAGCTCATTAATTCAGAAAATATTAAGAAGAAAGGAAAGGAAGTTTGAAAGAAAGTTTAGATGGAAGGACTTCCTTGTTAGTCGAAAAACAGCTTTTATTGAATCCAAGCTCCTAAAATGACTAGTTTCGGATTTTGTCACATTATGATGTAATCATGCGATGAAAGACAGGCTCTGCAGAAGAAAATCAACGTCTACTTCTACATCATTGTATCTTTAGCACCACCCACCGACTCCAGCATGTCATTTAGTAGTAAATACAAGAGAGACAAACAGGATTACTTCAGCAACAAAACCATAGAGATGCCTCTGAGGATTACAAGACGTTTTGCACTGCCAAGTTGTGTAAAAACTCTTTGTCTTTGCCTTTCTTGTGATTTTAAGATTAAGAAAGCGTGGATGAACGCCATTGTCGTTGAACAGTGTGAATAGTTGTGATTTGCTGTTCTTTCCTTTGCTTCGGCATTTAAGAGGTTAATATGGGGGAATTCCTGGATACGGAAGAAAGCACGTAGAGAACGATTCTTTTGTTATTGTTTTGATCAAAGCCATTCGCTGTAATCCTGAATAAAAGCTTCAGTGAGTGACATCATCTGTTTTGTCATCAGTAAGACATTACATCACGTTTAATTTAATTTAAAACATGACACTGCAATTGACAATGTATAAGTTTTTCTCTTTATCGCAAAGGATAGCCTATAAGAACAACAGTGCGACAAACAATACATTCATTTATTATACATGAAACACCGCAATTATCATTTGTCAACTATAACTGTGGTAACTCCAAGTACTTACACTTTATTTGCCACAACCAAGACTTATAAAGCATATGTAATATGCATAAATGTTTCACATTGTTGGCAAATGTTTCAACTATGTGACGAGATATTTTTCAACAAAAATGATTTTAATATGCAAAACTATTACCAAATCATAGCAGTGCTTACTTCCAACTCTTGAATGTGTCACGCCTATCAATTTTTTTTCAAACAGGGGCAAAAACAGTAAAAAAAAAAATATATATATATATACAGGTCCTTCTCAAAAAATTAGCATATTGTGATAAAGTTCATTATTTTCCATAATGTAATGATAAAAATTAAACTTTCATATATTTTAGATTCATTGCACACCAACTGAAATATTTCAGGTCTTTTATTGTTTTAATACTGATGATTTTGGCATACAGCTCATGAAAACCCAAAATTCCTGTCTCAAAAAATTAGCATATTTCATCCGACCAATAAAAGAAGTGTTTTTAATACAAAAAAAAGTCAACCTTCAAATAATTATGTTCAGTTATGCACTCAATAGTCAATACTTGGTCGGGAATCCTTTTGCAGAAATGACTGCTTCAATGCGGCGTGGCATGGAGGCAATCAGCCTGTGGCACTGCTGAGGTGTTATGGAGGCCCAGGATGCTTCGATAGCGGCCTTAAGCTCATTCAGAGTTTTGGGTCTTGCGTCTCTCAACTTTCTCTTCACAATATCCCACAGATTCTCTATGGGGTTCAGGTCAGAAGAGCTGGCAGGCCAATTGAGCACAGTAATACCATGGTCAGTAAACCATTTACCAGTGGTTTTGGCACTGTGAGCAGGTGCCAGGTCGTGCTGAAAAATGAAATCTTGATCTCCATAAAGCTTTTCAGCAGATGGAAGCATGAAATGCTCCAAAATCTCCTGATAGATAGCTGCATTGACCCTGCCCTTGATAAAACACAGTGCACCAACACCAGCAGCTGACATGGCACCCCAGACCATCACTGACTGTGGGTACTTGACACTGGACTTCAGGCATTTTGGCATTTCCTTCTCCCCAGTCTTCCTCCAGACTCTGGCACCTTGATTTCCGAATGACATGCAAAACTGAGCAACAGTCCAGTGCTGCTTCTCTGTAGCCCAGGTCAGGCGCTTCTGCCACTGTTTCTGGTTCAAAAGTGGCTTGACCTGGGGAATGCGGCACCTGTAGCCCATTTCCTGCACACGCCTGTGCACAGTGGCTCTGGATGTTTCTACTCCAGACTCAGTCCACTGCTTCCGCAGGTCCCCCAAGGTCTGGAATCGGTCCTTCTCCACAATCTTCCTCAGGGTCCGGTCACCTCTTCTCGTTGTGCAGCGTTTTTTTGCCACACTTTTTCCTTCCCACAGACTTCCCACTGAGGTGCCTTGATACAGCACTCTGGGAACAGCCTATTTGTTCAGAAATTTCTTTCTGTCTTACCCTCTTGCTTGAGGGTGTCAATGATGGCCTTCTGGACAGCAGTCAGGTCGGCAGTCTTACCCATGATTGCGGTTTTGAGTAATGAAACAGGCTGGGAGTTTTTAAAAGCCTCAGGAATCTTTTGCAGGTGTTTAGAGTTAATTAGTTGATTCAGATGATTAGGTTAATAGCTTGTTTAGAGACCCTTTTCATGATATGCTAATTTTTTGAGACAGGAATTTTGGGTTTTCATGAGCTGTATGCCAAAATCATCAGTATTAAAACAGTAAAAGACCTGAAATATTTCAGTTGGTGTGCAATGAATCTAAAATATATGAAAGTTTAATTTTTATGATTACATTATGGAAAATAAATAACTTTATCACAGTATGCTAATTTTTTTAGAAGGACCTGTATATATATATATATATATATATATATATATATATATATATATATATATATATATATATATATATATATATATAATGATGTTTTGTGATGTAAAAATCTTGAGAACTCAGAAATTCAGTTCATAACCCCTTTAAAATAACATTTAGAAGAACGGATAGCAGTTTGCTTGTTATTATTGTCTCTATTAAAGTACTATTGATTAGCACAAGTTCATTAACAGTGGATTATATGAATGAATGGATTTGTTCGTAATCCTTACCTCAACTAGTTTAACAATGTTGAGGTGGTCCAGTTTTTTCAGGATGGCTATCTCCTGGTAAACTCTCTCCAGAGGACCAAGCACCTTGGGCTGCATCCCCTGGGCTGCTTTAGGACCTCTGGGTGGAGGGCGGCCTGCACAGCGAAAGAATGATTGAGAATAAACGGAACTTAGGATGCAGCTAGGATTCCTCAGACTACTTCAACATCTGCCCCAAAGAACAACTTCTGCTGTGCTTAACATCTGCATACATATGGTTTCAAATTCAAACTTAATTGAAATGCCATACATACGAGGGAAACCATACTGTTTCATCAGCTTCTTCTTAGATACCACTTTCATTGCCTGCAAAACAAAGAAGACACAGATGCAATGAGACAAATAGACAATCTTGCAAAGACTACATAGATATCCAAACTGAAACTATTATACATAGAGGTCTTCTCAAACATAGCTTATTTCCATCTGCCTGAGCCTATAAAGTGGGTGACATAACTGACTTTTTTCCCATTTACACACTAATCAAACAGCTTTCACAGAGTTCAATCAACTGCAGTTTTCTCGTTTGCTTCTGGCCTTGATGGGACACTCAAAATTCCCCTCACAGCAGTGTTTCTGTGCAAGTGATTGCTAAAGTGAATGTGGAAATTTGGTCACAAACAGTGACTGACAGAATAAGAAGCACGCAGACCAAAGTGCTTGTGGTTCGTAAATCACCTAGTTTATATCGTTTTTTTCTCGAGAGAGGAAAAACAAAGGGTTGAGCAACATTCAACCGCTGATGCTTGGATCAGATGTCTTTGTAAGCAATTGAAATGTTAATCAAATAAATTGCTTTTGGCACACAGAACTGGGCTTTTAAAACATGTACTTCCTGGGAAACACATACTGAGTCATCTGTGTCATTTTTATAATGGAAGATGTCCATTACAGAAGAATTGTGCACCTGTGTCTTGTCTACTTTTCAACTGGGCTTCTAGCACCTGCAGAAAACATGATGTTTCGTAATGAGTGAGTGCCTGACAATTTCAAAATTCATCCTTGAGTTTCTCATGACACACTTTCACATATTGTGATGGAAAGAATTAAAAATTTGACTGAAGCACATGTTGAAACTCTGTGGTCTTTTCCCTTAATTTGTCATGCTATAAAATCCAATGTCTCAGAATAATAAATGTTTAAAACACATACAGCACCAATAAAAAGGCCCCATTTATCTTAAAACTGAAAGCATGCACAACTTATATATAACAATAACAGTTAGCAACAGGAAAAAGTCTCAAGGACAGCTGGAGGAGATCTACATCTGTATTGCTGAAGAGTTTAAATAACTCAGTTCAAAAAGAATGAAGGGGAAAACATGAATGTTTTATGAACATGTCAGATGTGAGCATGATGAAACAAAATCGCTAGTTAGAATGCAGTAGGGATGGAAAGAACTAAAGCGTCCAAATATAAATGACTGGGAAACGATGAGATGAATCAGCAAGTAACCCTAGTGAAAAATAAATATACTAAAATGTATTTGAAATACATTTATTTTATGCTACTACAAATACATTTACATATTTATGTACTTAATAAAAATACCCTGTAATTGTACTTTTTAGTACACTAAACTGATATACTTAAAGTCTGATAAATTGGAACAGCTAATTTTTGCTGTCAGGAAATAGTGCTGAGGTCCAACTAAAGATATACTTAAAGGGATACTCCACCCGAAAATGAAAATTCTGTCATCATTTACTCACCCTCAAGTTGTTGCAAACCTGTATGAGTTTCTTTCTTCTGATGAACACAAAGGAAGATATTTTGAAGAACGATTGGAACTTTGGCACCATTGACTTCCATAGTATTTTTTTTTTTTTCTACTATGGAAGTCAATGGTGCTAAACAACTGTTTGGTTCCAATCGTTCTTCAAAATATCTTCCTTTGTGTTCATCAGAAGAAAGAAACTCACACAGGTTTGCAACAACTTGAGGGTGAGTAAATGATGACAGAATTTTCATTTTTGGGTGGAGTATCCCTTTAAGTATATTTGATTGTGCTAAAGTGGAACTATTGCAAGTATACTTTAGGTACTGATATTATACAGAGATCATACTATCCTTACTAATAGTGATATTAAACACATTTTAAGGCTTAATATTAAGAAATGTGCATTGTGCAATAAAGAAGAACTCCAAATAAAGTTTAATTATATTTATATCAGTAAGTCTCAAGCGATATGTCAGTAATATGTTAATGGATTTGTATACTTAGTATTAAATAAATGTATTTTAAATACATTTTGGTATAGGTTTTTTTCCCACTAGGGAAGCAATACCTAAATAAAGTTTGTTACAGGTGGTGATGGAACTGTATTTATTGTATACTATGAAAAATACAGTAGTACACAAGTGAAAATGCCACCATATATATATATATATATATATTATATTATTATTATTTATTTATTTATTTATAATTGATACATACACACACTACCATTCAAAAGTTTGGGGTTGGTAAGATTTTTTTTAATGTTTTTGAAGAAGTCGCCTATGCTCAATAAATCTGCATTTATTTGATAAAACATTCAGTACATACAGTAAAAACAGTAATATTTTGAATTATTATTACAACTTAAAATAACTTTATTATTTAAATATATTTTAAAGTATAATTTATTCTTTTGATGGCAAAGCTAAATGTTCAACAGTTTCTTGAAACTTAAACACAAGCATGAGAAAGACTGAAAGCGTGGAGCAGGAGAAAACACATCGAGTTAAATAAAGAATTAGTTTTAATTTCAGGATTCATTCTACTGGTAAAGAAAAAAGAGAATGTGTGGAAATTGTAAGACCGGTAACATCCTGCTCATAAGTTTCTGAGGTCAGTGGAGTGCAAAGGCCAGAGACGGGGGCACTCTCACTCTACTCTGCCTTTATGAAGGGATTTGATCTCCGCCCTCTTTTCATCCTTTCTATCCAAACAGCATGAATTAATTAATGTAGCTGTAAACCAGGAGCTATATCTCACTTTCAGACACACTGTCTATTATGAAAGATGACAATGAGGAGGACAAGAAAATAATCAGACATGATCAGTTGTGAGTTTTGTTTGATCTGATTACAAGTGTATGGCGCTAAATACAGGTGTAAACACGTTCTAAAACATTTTGAGCTTGTCCACTTTTGATCACTTCCAAATACCATACATTTACCAGCCCATAGGCTCTCCCCTCGAATAAATCTGGACAGAAGTGGTTTAAAGTGGACAAAAGACAGATTAAAACACCACATGTAAAGGGGTACGTGTCTTCCTTGTCTACTCGTAATCCAATCAACCAAAATGCATCTTAATACCAAGTGTAAACAGGACCTTAGACCGTGTGTTTCCTTATTCCACACTTAAACTGTTTGACTATATCTACATCCTTTACATACATTCCACGTAGTCTCTCCATTATCAATTCTAATACAACAATAAAATGCTGAGTATAGTAATTTTATGTCACACTGCCAGATATTTCAAAATATTCAGCTATTCTGACACTGTTTCCAATGGTTAGCTCCCATATGCTGCCTGCATCCGCAAAAATAAGCACAGCTTTAACTTATTTTATGCTTATTAATGTTGAAAATCTCCCTTTTTGGATAACAGCTATACATAAATGTGACAAAAAAATTAAGAGTAGAAGGAGAAAATATATCTTCCTGACTTAAAAGCTTGAAAAATGTCTTAATTACTTCCTGATTTATTGGCCTGATTAGCAAAATTGGAAAAGATGCCCCAAAAATATCCATTTAAAAATACTTTTCCATATCACAAGTCTTTTGTGTCAGGTTCTAACACAGGGCTTGGTGGCAAAATATTACAAATGTCTTTTTTATATTTTAGGGGCAATATGAAAATAGTCATTTTTTCCCCCTTCTTTTTTTAACATTTATTTCCATTTTGTTCATTACAGATATGCTTCTGTATTTCAGTTCAAGATGAGGATAGTTACACAGCAGGACAATTTCCATATTTTAGTTCAAAACTGCTAAATAAATAAATAAAATAAAACATAATTTGAACAGATCATGTTCCGCTTGTGTGCGCTTTGCTGTCCAACCAATTAAATTATATATATCAGAAGAAAATTATGAAAATAATTTTTGTCTGTCTATCTTTGTGTTTGTCCGGTTACTGTGTTCATATTGTGTTTGTGGGCTGATATGCTCCAAATAAAATTAAGGACTGCTGCACATTCTTGCCATCACTGTTATATCACAACCCTCCCCCATCTGCTCTAATTTTCATTACCATTCAATCTATCCTGCATCTTCTACATCCTCTCTGTCATTTATTTTATTTATTTATTTGTTTTTTTAAAAAGGGACAGTGCATATTAATGGACATCTTAGCTTTTCAGCAATGTAAATATGCCAGAATTAGCCCAAAGGCTATTTTACATCTGTAGTCCCCCGTCAGGTCATCACAGTACAATTTAACACAACTAAACATAGAAATTGAATGCAAAACAACACAATTTAAAAGACGCCACAATTTTCAACAACATTATACAAGACACCACAGTTAGCAGACAAGAATTATATAATCCAAAGTGCTGTGTATGCAGTAAAGTGCCATTCTATGAATTAATGTTCAGATAAAAAAAAAAAAGCTGTGTGTAGCTGTTTAGTCCCGGAGGGTGCTGCATCTAGTATGGCAGACACACGCATACACATACAGAGTAAACTGCTATTCTATGTACATAAGGTACATTTTAATTATGTTAAAGTGCTATTTAATGCAATAAAGTGCTGGTAAAAGTAAAGTATGGTATACATTCATATGCTTAAACAATACAATAGTGAACAAACCCATACACATAAAATACAACAAATACCATTAATGGTTACAAATTTGATGTGTTTTGAGCCATTGTTTGAGTTGGTTCTTAAAACTGGGGTAAGTCGGACATTCTCTCACGTCAACCGGTAACTTGTTCCAGATCTCTGACCCCTTAATTGACAATACATGTTGTCTGGAAAATATATGCCTGATGTATAAAATTATTTATGGTTTATCTTCTCCCCCTCTTGGTCAGTTAGTTCGTATTAGAACAACTGATTATCGCCTTACAAGAGGTGCGTTAAGACAAGACTGTATCATACCGCTTAGACGAAGTAAATTTAGTCAGTCTGCCTTTTCTGTCAAAGCTGCACAAGAATGGAATAGTATTCCGACAACTATAAGAGATCTAGACACATATGCTTTATTTAGGGTTCAATTGAAAAAGTGGTTAATCAGTACTCAGATTTGTCAACATTAGAATCTCATATCTGCTAGCCATCCTATTATTGTTTCTATTTGCTTGATTGTTTTAATTGATCCAAAACTGTTTAAATAGCTTTTTATGGTATTATGTAATTATTAAAATTTCTATTATGTATTCTTAATAATTTTTTTCTTTAGGTTGACTTGTAACATCTTGTCCAGGGACTACGGATGAAAAATAGCCTTTGGCTAATTCTGGTACATTTACAGAAATGTTTTATTAATGTACAATGTCCCTGTCAAACTAAAAAAAAAAAAAAAAAAAAAAAAAACTGCTAACTGCTCTGTCATGCCTTTTTCTCTTTCCAATCTCTTTTCCTCAGTATATTGTTCCTTACCTTTATTTTGCATCCTCACTCACTCACAATATACACCTCGTGACTGAATTTAAGGCACTACTAGCATCACCAAATTCACTTTTGGCCATACAGGCCACCCCACCAGCCTACAGCACTGCTCTAGATGCAACAAGGACATCCAAATGTAAAATAATTGTTATTTACGTAAGGTACTTACATAATATTTGTCATCATCCTCGTTGTATGCCAACTTGACAACACCATATGAGCCCTTTAAGATAGAAGAAATGGATAGAGGAAATAAGACAAACAAAACACAGATTATGATGAGTCAGACTCTATGAGACTGTGCTGAGGGTCAGAGAGAGTCAGTGTCTGAATGACTGCTATGAAACACAATTGTGATTTATATATGCACGTCGATTATCAAAATTTGCAATGACAATAATGTAGGGGGGCTTACCTTCCCAATCTCACTCTTTAACTTGTATTGGTTAAGCTGGATGCAATCCTGAAATTGTGAGAGCGAGAAAGAAAGAGAGAAAAGAACAGACAGAGAGAGAATCGAATCAATATCAGCTGCACACACAAAGGAGCTGTGACACTATATTAATATATTGCACATCAGAGGGAACATGTAAGCCAGTTACAGGCAGAAACAACAAATCTCTGCATTTGTTTCATAACCTATTCCACAAGGGAAGAATGGAAACTGTAAAAGAAAAGATTTAAAAATAATTTTGCATCCCGGTTGACTATGACAGCAAATACTATCACTTAGCATTTTTATGTATTATTATTTCCATGGCAATGCTTGTCACGTGAAAAACCACCACCACAATAGCGTTGTTTGACTGATGTATTGGTTTTATTTCAATTTGACTTTTTTATTAACTACATAATGAAATATCTGATATTCAGATTCTCAAATACATCCAAGTTAATATATTTTGTCGGTTAACCACCTTTATAATGATCATGTTAGTTGATCTATAACAGAATTTGTCTGATTTACAACATGTAAATTCCTCCACTTCTCCCGAAAGACATGAAAGTAAGTGGTCAGTAAACTGGGAAAAGAACAGAGCAAACTTTATAGTTACCTACACAATGTGTGATATCAATAAAACATGTCATCAAATTATGAAAGGATTATTATTGCCGCTTCCATTGACATCAGTGCGTATTTTACAAACTATAAATGTTTTTTCCCTAGCAATACATGTATTAAAATGTCAGAAAACCTAAAATAAACATTATATGGTTGAAAACACTAAACAGTTGTCATATGATACATGACAAGTGAGAGCATCAACTGCTAAATTCAAATCAGCAGAGACTGATCACGCAACGCACTGATCGTTCCAATAACGTTAGAAAAATAGTATAAGCATGATGCCTCTGGTGACCAGCCTAGAGTCAGCAAGCTCTGAAGTATCAGATTATCTCTGGATTGTCATTCATGAAATTATGACTGAACTGTTCCACAACCAGGGTCAGACTCAGAACAAGACCACAATTGAAGAAGAAAAGGCACCTAAAAACAAAAACAGATTGTTTCATGTGAATCAGCTGGCAAGTGCAAAAAGACTTGCAAGTAGCCAAGTTGGCAAAACAATTACTATCTGGATCAGCAACCTCCTGCATTGTGAGCTGCAGAGTTTTCACCGCAGCAGGGAACATTGTGACTGCAAACAATTCTGCCCTAACAACAGAAATGTGACATTGTCGCTTTCTACTAGCTAGAATGTACTGCAAATGTTGTAGTATTATAAAGAGATGGAACAGAGACCTTTGTTATTTTAAAAAAGCATTCAATTTAGTTTACATGATTAAAAACGTCAACAAACTGTGCCATTTTCTTTTGGTTCTTTGTTCTGTTGTGCTATACTGAAAAAATGTGGTCCTAAAACTGATACTGAAAGATGGATTTACAATGGTTACATCCCTGCTCAACAACATTTCAGCAATTTCAAACAGAATAAAGCAAAGACAGAGGAACAGGAAGAAAGACTGTAGTAGTGGTAAAAGCAAAAATGAGAAGCTGAGAGAGGAAGAACTTCACTGGGGGAGGAACAACACTGAGAATGTAATGACAGATGAGTGTGAATAGAAATATATTTAAAAAAAAGATTTCAGACAAAAGTATAATTTGATACGCTGTAATAATTTTTGAGTTTATTTACAGAGAATGGGGGAATAAGATGAAGAGGTAGAGAGAGAGAGAGAGACGGGGTGAGGGCAGAAGAGAGGAAAGTTGGACTCCTGGCTGAGATCAGACTATTACTGGCACACACTCAGTGAGTTTGGCATTGCAGTAAACCCGCACCTGCACACACAAGCAGATGGTCAAAACTCACCAAGAACAAGAGCAGAGGACAATACTTAATTTCTGTATTTCACATTTAATTTACAGGAAAACATAGCTTAAAGAATGACTAGACTAGAAGGAACTAGTTTAGACAAGACCTTAAATTTGTTACATAAATATTAGGGATGAACTGACACTAAAATTATGGTCAATACTATAATTTGTAAATGGCCGATAAGAAAATAAAAAATGAAACACTAAAAACTAAAATCAAAAGTTTTAAATGCTTCAAGTAAATTTAGGCATCGCAACATTACAGGTGAAACTCGAAAAATTTGAATTTTAAAATTAGTAGGTACGGTATGAAACATGGATATTCATTTTAAGATTTGATAAAGATTACAAAGATTAATTTTAAGTGAGTGTTAGATAACTGCAAATGTAATCAGAATGTAAAAATAGAGAAAATGAGCATACACAATTAACTGTAATATCAGCTGATATCTATCCATTTTTTTTATCTCTAATATTGACCTATAACCAAATCCGGAACCAATACATTGTGCATGCCTATTGAAAATGAACAATATTAATAACATTATTCATCACATTATTAATTCATATCATTCATCAATATTCATATTGTCATGGCTTAGAAATTAAAGACCAATAGAGCCCTTACTTGAAGCAAATTGCATACATTTTAACAAAGGGATACTTCAGGATTTAGCATTGCTTTGTATCAGTATCAGTAGAAAACCAGTACTGTTTTTGAATTACCGTGTTTCCCCCCCCCCCCCCCCCCCCCCCCCCCTCATATCCCCCTGATATGAGAGAAAAATTCATTTTTAGTCTGGAAAAAATCCTCCGATGACACAAAAATCGTCATTTTGCGTCATCGGAGGATTTTTGTGCCAGAGGCTACCCAGATAGCATGTATAATCGGCCCGAGCTCGGCTGCCCCGCGGCGCCTGCGGCTCAGACTCGGCATCGGCGTGTGTTAACCGGGCCGAGTGTGGCCCGCAGCTCGCTCTGGCACATGCATTTTTGTTACGGCTGTAAAGCACTGGGCCGATTCATGTTCACCATAACTGGTAACCCGGCTCTGCCTGTATGATCTGGACCACTTCTGGAAATGACTCAGATTAAATCAATGATGGTTTTAATGAAGCAATAATTAACATAAAAATTATTTTAAAATTGACGTAAATTCCTGACCGTATCTGATGCTTGTCCAAAACAAAATATTATTATTTTTTGCAGTAATAATAATAATAATAGTGTCGTTTTACACAGAGCATTCTTTAATATTTATAACCATAGCAAAATATTTAGTTGTCATGAAGATCATTCTTTACTTTATGTATTTTAAACATGAATGCGCGCTAGGTAACATCACTCGTACAGCAGTCATGGTGATCGCAGTCGCGGCATTGGCTGAGTAGTGGCAACCGCAATTAGACAAAGTCACTTCATTTTATTGCCTATTTCAAATATTTACCACCATTGACAGCGGTCGACGGCTGTAAACTCTGGGCGCTCGGTCGGCTCAGACCCGTTTACCAGTATGAAGCCGATTTCAACGGTTAGTTACTGCAGCAAGCGCCAGCACGCATGCTCAGCTCATCACTGGAGTGACGTGTGCACAACTTTGGTTGAAATAAAACTCCACGCCTGACTTGGAATCATCCCTTCTCGATTCTGCGCCATTACGGTGAACTTGAGGTAAGTCTTGTGTTCAATTTCAAGCATCAACATTTCACGCCGAGCATAGGTTCAATCGAGTTCCCTTAACTTCTTATATTAAATCTACATTTCGAACTGTTGCTGATTAAATGTTGATTATTATCGATCCGTTTAAACTTTGTTCGTGGTCCTTTGACATGCTTCCCTCCAGATGAAACGAAAAGAAAGAATTCAGAATTCAGTTAAGAATTATTAATTAGGACAATAATTGTTTATCATGTCTAAGTAGTGCAAGTTAGGTTAATATGAAAGTGGCTCTGATTTTTATGGCGCGAACGAAGCTAACATTGACTAACGTTAGCTGGGCTGTTAGCTCTTCTTTGCAGCCAGAATTAGTACATTAGACGCCATTTTTATTGAATGCAATTTACGTGAATAATATTTACGAGCACAGTCTTTGATCTGTGGAAGAAAATAAAGTAGAACAAAATTTTAGCTGGATTAAGGCCCACCGCACAGACTGGCAACAAACATTGTCAAAGTATACACATTTTGATCCTGTAAGAAAATGTTTATTTTACTTATGTAAATTGTAATAGAGGAATGATGTGAGACTTTGGTATAAGTCATGCTGAAAGCTGGGTCATTGTCTGTTGCTGAGTGAGATCGGGACTCTTATTATGAAAATGAACTGAGGACTCTTATAGAGGAGCAGTATTGCGCCGGCGCCCTCGCAGTATGGTTACTCTGACACGTTTGCTCCTGTTTTTACAGGTATGATAACAACTTAATATGCAGACGAGTCCTGTAATTCCGATGTATGTTCATGCTGCAAATATTTTGTGTATTAATGTTCTGGGTTGTGAAGATATTGAATATGTGCAGACCGTCCGCCATTTTGTGAACGCTGTGACATGACGTGGTCGTGAAATGCATTTAATGGCCTTTTGCGCGGGGCCTGTAACAGATGCACTTTCGACATTTAACAATATCGAGAAGAAAGTCGTGTCTGAAAGCTGCAATCTTTTACTTGTATTGGTTAAAATGAATGGGCAATATCTCGTGTTTTTCCGTGGGTGCTCGAATTTGTCGGTGGCTGTTGGCTTATTTTTCATAACATGTTTGCTGGCGTTTGTCTGTGCGGTGTGAATTGGCCTATAGTTGTAGTTTTATGGTGCAAACTGAAGTAACGTATGCACTATAGTAACATTTAACCTGTCCTTCCAGAAAAATGCAGAGTTTTTTTTGTGATATGTTGCGGGCAAAAATCCTTAATTATGCGGCACGTTTTCTTAAAAAATGCGACGGAATATTTATGCAATTGCATGCGATGAAAAAAAGTGATTCCCCAAACACCCTGTTCTCACTTAATCTCCCTTAATGTAAAGAGTAATTTCTTATTACTTCCTATGCTAAGCAAGCATACTAAATCACAGATAGTGCTGGGAATATTTATTTCAGTTTTCAGTTTTATTTCAGACCTTAATAAACACATGGCTCAAACTTACAAAACA